GAGGAAGATAGTTCCAGCTCGGATCTTCCCGACACGCGGGCGCCCCAAGCCGCGGTCAAGGTGAAGGAGGACGAAGAGCCCGCTGGTGGGGCCCAGGCCGGGAGCAGAGAGGAAGGAGTCCTCGAACTTGGCCAATCGGTGGTCAGCAGCGCGAAGGAGTACCTCGCGCGGTCCGAAGCTCTTCTGAGAGCGCAGAAACTCCAGTCGAAAATACTGGAGGTGGCGGGAACCGCGATGGTGAAGTTAGAAAAGATCACCAAGCGTGAGGAATCCCTCAAAACTCTGCGCCGTGGGGGAGAGAATCGGGCGGCCGGGGAAGGCGCCGACGGGGAAGAGGTGTCTGACGATGGTCAGGATGCCCCCGGGGGTGCGGGATCGAGCAGTTCCGCCAGGCCTTCAAGAGGCGGGACCGTCCAGTCCGCCCCGGCCCCAGAGGTGCCTCGCCCCAATGCTGACGGCCACTATGGATGCTCAGCTCCTGGATGCGGGCTGGCCTTTGAGTCGCTGGTGCAATACCACTTGCATCAGGCGGCCTGCCATGGCGCCTCTCTTCCGCCCAACCTGGGGATCAGCCCCTCCGCACCTCTTGACCCTTTTCGTCAAGACTGGCGGGGACGGTTGTTCCGCCGAGGAAAGGACGGTGGGTATGGGGAGGTGCCCATGCTCCGAGTGATTCGGTACCACAAAGCCAACGGGTACGATCACTCGAAGGTCCCGCTCCTGAAGAGAGGGGACCGAATCCAGCTTGAGGACGGATCGCACCACATTTATGGTGGTAGTCATCCACCGGGGTGGCTTCGCGATGACCCCGAGCTGGATCCCGCTCCAGAGAGTAGCGGTGGAGGGTCCACGCCCAAGAGCGAGCCCACGGAGGAGGCCGAGCATGGACCTCCGCGGGAGGCCGCTCCGCGCGGGCGGGCCCTCGGGCCGCCGACGAGCGACGTTCAGCAACGCCTTGCAGAGCGTCGTTCCAAGCGGGATTACTCGCCAGACCTGGTGACGCCTCTTGACGATCTCCATGCCCAGGAGATCGATTCCTTCTTCGCGGGCGACCCAGCCGCGGATAGCCTTGACGTCATTTTGATGCGCGCCGAGGTTCGCACTGAGTCCCACCTCAACGTTGGCCGGGAGCAAGAAGAGCCCCTGGTCAAGGAGGAACAGGAGGAGGAAGCTGAGGTTGTCAAGGACGAGGAGGTCTCGGTTGAGATGGAGGCAGGCACCGCGGATGAGGCGGACGATGTCGCCCTCCCAGCCAACCGAGCCTACGTCGAAGGCCGCTTTTACCCCTACGGCAGCTGGCGGTGCTTCTTCTGCGAAGCCATCAACCCGGTTACCGAGGACCAGTGCCTCACCACGCACGCGGGCGGCCCGAAAGCGGGCGCCCCGTGCGACGGCCGATGGATCAACGGGATCGACATCGGGTGGTGGGAGGTAGACCCTCAAACCGCGCCCGAGCAATGGAGGCGGAGGTTTTCTGCCGAAGCGCTTGAAGACCAACAAGCGCGGGCGGATGCCGCGAGGCTTCTCAGCGATGAGGAACTCGCTGAAGCCCTCCAGGCGGCCGAGGAGGCGCAGGCGGCCGAGCGCGCCAAGAAGCGAGAGCGGCGCCAGGCGGAGAAGGCGGAGCGCGATGACCACATCAGCGAAGCGCTCCGCATTGCAGGGTGGCAGTGCCCTAACTGCTATGAATGGAATCTTTCGTTCAGGCAGCTGTGCTTTCGCTGCAGCACCCCTCTCCGTTTGGCAGAGGTCGTCTCTCGCGGGATCCCTGATCCGCGGCGTGGCGAAGAGAGGGACTCTGGCTCCGAAAGCAGCCAGGACGAGCTGGAGCACGAGATCCTTCTGGCCAATCTTGCGATGGACCAAGAAACCATCCAACCTCTTCTTAGAAACAAACACAAGAAGAGGGGCGGTAAGCGACGTCGCGAAGAAGCGACGTACGGCAAGGGCCGCGACCCTTGGAGTGCTTGGGCAGATGCCCGTGGCAAGGGCCAGGGCAAGCCGAAGGGCAGAGGCAAGTCCGATGCCAAGGGCAAGCCCAAGGGGAGGGGCGAAACGCCTGGGGCGCTTACGCCGCGGGCATAGTTGCCGCGCTCCAACCCCGCTCAAGCACAAGCTGGGTCCCAGCCTTCCCGCGCGGGTCGGCCCGGCCGCCGCCAAGTGTCCCGCTTCCGCCGCGGACCCCCTTTTTCCTGGGTCGCGGGCTCCTCAATCGGTTGATGCACGCCCTCAACGGGAACATCAACGGCTGGTGGGGCCTGGCGGCTGCAGCGTCGGCGCCGATTGCCTTGCAGTTGCACCGCGGGGCTGTGCATGTTGTCGAGGACTCCATGCACGCGGTTGCAACAATTTCGGCCGACGTGGTCGAGGAAATCGGTCATGGGGCCAGGCGGACAGTGTGGGTCGCCGGAACAGCCATCACTCTGGTAGTAGTGATCTTGTGCAGCGCTGTTCTGTGGTACGTGAGTCGTGCCGTTGCCAATCGCATTGCGCATCTGCGACATGGCAACACCGCGGCCCCTGAGGCGCGGCTGTCTCAACTCCTTGGCTCTGAAGCGACGTTTGAGGTCGCGAGCACTAAGAAAGGGGTGACCCATAAAGTTTGGGTGCACCTCAAGGAGGAGACAGCTGCCTGTGGCTGTCGTGCTTACCTAGCAGAGGGACGTTGCGGGCACTGCGATGCCGCAATGGACACCGCTCGATCCCTAGGGTTTTTGCACGCGGCCCAGCGAGGCGCGGGTTCTGCGCTCACAGACTCCATTCGGAGTACCGCCTCCGAAGCCCTAGCTAAGGGTAAGGTTGTGTTGGGTTTGGGGAACAGTGAAGGATGCTTCTCCCAACTTGCGGCCAAGAGCCGCGGGCTCTCCTGCTTTCAGGGGCTCGCGGGTCGTGACCTGGCCGCGGCCCCAGCAGATGGAGCGAGCGCAGCCCACGCACAGTCCGGCTTCGTGCAACGTGCCGCCACTGCCACTGTGGCGCGCACACCCAGCCGGAGGAACAAGGGCCCAGTCCCCGCTAGGAGTTCTCCAGTCAAAGAAGCGGAATTCCTTGCGGGCGGGCCATACGTTCAGGCCGCCCAAACGCTGCTTGGGTCTGGAGCAGCAGAGGATGTGATCTACATCCGGGCGTACAGCTTAGATTGCCCATCCTGCATCGAGGCAATCGAAGCGTCGCTTAGCAAGGGCGCAGGCGTTCGGATTGTCGCCGACATGGGACAATGCCACCGCACCAAACTGCAGTGGCAAGCGTTGAAACGCTTGGCGGCTGCAGGCGCCGAGGTGAAGGTGGGTTGCGGCACATCCGTGCGCGACGCCTATGCTCGCGACGGCCGCGGGGCTAAAGTAGGTACCGGTATCCAAGGGCTTCACCATGCCAAGGCCCTTTGCCTACTGCGGCCTGATGGCGCGGTGGTGCTGATTGGGAGCCTCAATTTTACCACAAGCAGCAAAGCCAATGCGGAGGCAGGGCTTAGGCTTGAGGTCCCCAAGACGCACCCGGTCGCGCAGTCCTACATCGAGGATTTCCAGAGGGTGTCGGCTGAGGCATTCTCCCTCGATGAGGCGGTCGCAAGGCGCCCTCAGTTGGAGCGAGCCAGTAGCTCCAACGTTGCTGGCATCGCCACTCGTGCCCCCAACACTGCTCCACAGGGTATCGAGTAGGCTGCGGCCAGTCGGCGCAGCGTGGAATCGTTTCCACGCGATTTCTTAGGCGTCACAGCGCGGCACGCTGTCGTGCCTCTTTTGATTGTATTTTGCTAGCGGGCGAAGAGCCGCGGCAGGGTTTGCCCTGCCCATTTTGCCTACCCCGCACTTTTCTTCTCAGCCCGTTGCGGCTGCTGCGGACCGTGTCCTGGTCGCGGCAATGCGCTCGCCGAAGCGCGTGTGAGCTGCATTGCCTGCGGCACAAGCCATGTGCGCGGCTCTCGCTGAGTCTGGTAGCCCGTAGGGTAGTTCTGGATAGGTGAGTAGCCGTAGCCGTAGCTTAGGACCGGTAGTGTACAGTGTACCATTTGTACCATAGCTTTGCACTAGCAGCACAAAGACCTGCCCAGTACTCTGGAGCCTCGCCTGCCTGCACAAAGGTGAGAGCTCGCGACTTGGGGCGGTTTAGGGTCGTGGAGGGTTGCTGTCGTCGTGCGTCCGTCCGGTAGTGCGGGCTGCCGCCCAAGCCGCATGCCAATGCTCATGATGTGCGGGCTCTACCAGAGTCGCACGCGACACCCTCACCCTACCCCATTTGCCGCGTTGCTGAAGTGCTTGACGCACTATGAGCTCTTGGTGAGCCGGAAGCCTCGGCTGAGGGGCGAATGTGAGCAGGTCAAAGCATGCATGGAGTGCTTGCTTAGTGCTAGTGCAGCTTGTAGTTGTTTTCCCTTGCATGTGTAGTTTTGCAATTCGTAACAATGCCAATGTTTTGGCTCAAGTACCGAGCTTGTGCCTTTGAGCACGGTAGAGTCGTACAGTAGCTCCTAGGTTGCTGTGCGGTCCGACCGGACGCACTCAGGCGTAGCTGCACAAGTGCTTGGACTCACGAAGTCGTAAAACAGCGTGACCGGGCTGTGATTGCATTGGCTTAGTGCAAGTCCAGTGCTGGTCGACTTCACATATTACTTTTTTAAACAAAAATGCGTGGATATTTGTATATCTATATATGTATATATGTACATATGTGTAAATGTACATATGTATATATGTACAAGTATATACGTATATACGTATATATGTATATATGTATATATGTATATATGTGTATTATATATGTGTATATGTACATATGTATATATGTATATATGTATATGTGTAACATCTACGAGCTTGAGTATCAGACTATCAATTTGTTTCTGCTGTTGCTGTTGTCGTTGCCGTTGTCGTTGCCGTGTGCTTGCTGTTGACGTCTCTGGACAGCCGGGGTCTTTTGACATGCCTACCCCTCTGTGCGAACAAGCCTGAGAGGGCTTGAGTTTACACGGCTCAGGGTGTGACTGGCCCTCAACCATAACCTTAAATCCGAAACAAGATGCACCAACAGCTGCCGAGGGACAGCCGCGAAAGGTAGGGACGGCTCCACAGCACACGCAGCTCCCGAGAGGAACGCAAAAATCCTCCAAGACCATAAATCCCCCTCTCCATGAGCCCGGTATCGGTCTGGTGGATGCAAACAGCATCCAGGAAGCATACTGCATCCCAAGCCAGAGGCGTCGCAAATCCCTCCGGCAAGTACGGGATGGACAGCAGGCCAAGAATTGAGGAAAGGAAGGTTAAGAGTAGGGCCCATGGCGCGTAACCAACCTTCGTCTTGAAGTTCGGGCACTGAGTAGCATATTCGAAGGGCACGGGCAACATCTCTGTCACCGAAAGGATGCCCATTAACACCTGAATCACTCCGTTGAGGAAAATCACCCACTTCCATCCAGCTTGCATTAGCAAAGAAAGCATCTTCCATTTGCCAGGCGTATGCCAGGTGTGACTCAGAAAAACGTCAAAGTGCTGCACAGATCGGGATTTGTTCCTGCGCAGAGGCGTCTGTTCTCGTCTCAATGTGTCTTGCACATGTTGCTCTCGCTATATGCAGGAAGAGAGCCTCTAAATTGTCTGGGGCTGGCTCTTGTAGGCCTACAACAATGGGCAACAAGTCGCCAGCAACCCACGAAAAGCCAAGCGGTCCACCTAGATTATGAATATAAACATGTCGCATAATCTTCGCTCAAGGTAGCAAGGATCTGCTTTTGTTCTTTGTCGAAGACTTGGCGCCCCAACACACGGCACACCAGACCAGTGGAGTTATCAACTGACCGGAAAGCCCAAATGTGCGGGCCTCAGGGACTGCGAAGATAAATACAATCTCAACAAAAAGACCCAAGCTAAAGTACGACTCACCACCCAAAACACAGACTGCAGAATGGCTTGCAAAAGTTTCCTTGAAAATTGAACGCCCTCACCCCACTCCCGAGCATTGCAAACACCGCCTGAACCCCAAGCAAAACCCTTTGACAGGCTCCATAGCTGGGCTCGTTCACCGTCATCGAGGTCCAAAGGAGAACGGCGCCAAAGGCGGCCACCACCTGAATGAACCACCACTCCACGACTAATGATCTGCAGATTGTTTGTGCGACTAATTACTGCACCAAACCCAGACTCAGGAAAAAGGCTGCAACCTGGGCTGCTGGGCTGGTTTTGTTTAGGATTTGGGTAAATACATGCTCTACATGCTCGAAGAAGGCTGAAGCCAGTCAACATACGGCCACAGCGACATTTGCAGTTGAACATTGCATGCTGGAAGCTCCGAGATTGCGGGAACATTGCATGTTGATACCTTACTGCCATGAACGGACCATTTGCTCCTAAGCTGCTTCAGAAACAGTAGGAGGTGCTCGCACCGGAACGTTCCCCAAAAGTAGTTTGTAGTTTGCGCTCTTCTAGAGGATGTGCTGAGCACAGTGCCGGGCTACTAAGCCTGTCCTTCAAGCTAAGTGAAGCCTGACTTCGCTGCGTGGAAAGTGAGTTTAATGTGAAAGCATGTGAAAGCGGGATGTGCCAAAGGCAGTATCTCAGCATGTCTTCGGAGAGAACTGCATGAGCCATTGCGTCAGGCACGCTGCTGCCAGGCGTGCTAGGTTCTCAGGTTTTCGGAGGAAGGTTGCCCTTTTTTCGTGAACACAATGTTGAAGCCCCTCCTCCAGGGTTCGGGAGGCTCTGACCACAGTCTCCACAACATTCACTATTCGGACGCTACAGCGCAACCAACAACCTGAGAAGGAAGTGCGAGAACTTCACCGAGCAAAGCACAGGCTCTCGGAGAACGACAAAACTCGAGTCTGAAGATGCACGCCACTCATTTCACACTCACGGCCTCAGCACCACTCTCAAGACCCTGCAACCCCTTAAGCCCTCTAGTTGTTTCAAGGTTCAGGGGCAAAGACCCTGCCAACAGAACCGAGGAGCCTCTGAGAGAGGCCCGCAGCGTGATCCCGCGGAGGATCTCTGAGTCAACCTTTCCAATTTCAATTTGCTGCTGTCGTGATTTGGGTATTTCGAAACATACTTTCGGGTTTATATAGAAGGGTGCACTCGACAGGAACTTGGCTTGATGTGTGAATACATTCTTGGTGCTGTCATTGGTGGCAGCATGTGGCAGCATCATTCGGAGTTCAGGTTTCGGATTTTCGGGGCTGGCTGTACACCCCTCGAAGCCATAAATGTTGAAACTACCTGAATCCACGACAAACCCTAAACGAGCTAAATTCGTAGGATATAAAGGCCTCGAGCTGGCGCATCTCGTGCAAACGGCTCCACTTGCTTGGAACCTTCGGCTGGGGACGCGGGTGGCTCCAGGAACCCTACTCTATGTATGTACATACATACATATATATATATATATATTATATACATATACAGAAAAAAGATATATATATATATACCCCGCCCGCCTCAACCGTCGTGTGCACGTCGACGGCCTTTGAAGCGGAGCCTTGGGCTGCGAGGTTTCGGGAGCGTTTGGTTTCTCAAAATTTAGGGGGTTTGGGGTTTTGGGGGTGGGGTCGGGGTGGAGGGGATGTGGTACCCACCAAACTGCTCAGCTCCGACTAGCCCAAAGCCCATAGACCCTGAACCCCTTAAGCTCCTGACCCAACCCCTGAAACTGCCTTAACTTGCCCAGCTACTACGGGTGGCGCCTAAAACTGTGCCTGGTGGAATCGCTTAAATCGAAAGAAGGGCCGCCAATCAAATAGCGCGATGCCCTCGATGGCTCGAAAACAAGACTCTTCAGCCCCAAACCCCTACCCTACACCCTACAACCTACAACCCGAAACTCCTAAACCAAAGCATCTTCGTGCATGCCACCTTTCAAATGCTCCGGAGGGTCCTCGCAGGCATGGCTCGCCTCCACTAACTCCTGAGAATTCGAGGGGAGGGGGGGGATTCGGGTTTAGGACCGTGCGGAAGCCCTCCAGAAGGTGTGGGCAAACTAACACAGGATTGAAGGTGCAGGGAAATGTGGTGGGTCCGGCTAACAGCGATGCATTTGCCGGCACTGTCCCATCAACATCTACGTACCATGTGTGCTTTGTCTGGCTCCCATCGCCTAAAATGCAAACTGTACCCCCAAACCCTAAACCCCAAAGCCAGTCCTAAAACTGTGCTCCAACAGGGCCTTCTGGGCCTTGGGGCCCTCCACTCCATGGCGAAACCCTGGAACCCTGAACCGCACCCCTGGACCCTAAAGGCCCTACAAATCGTTTAAACCCTGAAAACCCAGCTCCTTGGGTGGCTCTGGTGCATCGTCGTGGCAGCAGCTGGCTTGGGAGCCCATGGCTCATGCTCAGCTATTGCTGTTTTTGGGGTGTAGGGCTTGGGCTTAGGGTTTAGGGATTCAGAGTCTAGGGTTCGAGGAGTTTGGGGTGCTGGTGCGAAACCGCCTGCCCTAAGCCCCACACGCTAAACTGCCCGAAGCGGTCTGATCTTACCGCGTCCAAGCCAGAAGATCACGCGTTTGGCGTTGGGGGCCATTTCGGGTCAAAGCATCGTTCAAAAAACAGCCGAGGCGGCTACCAATATGATGATCGCCCTTATTATGAGCCCTCTATTCTTGCAGGTCGCTTTCCAGATTCTTAAGAACGCTAAACACCTAAACTTCCAGAACTTTCCGTTTTAATTACCCCAAAACCCTCAAGCTTTAGAACCCAACTTCTCGGAAGCCCCTGAAACTGCATACTCTGAACCTCCAACCTTGCACAATGGAAATCGGCCTGAACCCTACAAGCCTTTGGATGGAATTCGAGGAAACCCTCTGTTGCCTTGTGAAGGGAAGGGAATTCCACAGAAGAATATTGAAAGAAGATGGAAAGCGGAAATAAAGAAGGATTGAAAGAAGATGGAAAGCGGAAACAAGGAAAGAGTGACGGGCTCCTCGACCCGGCGGTTCGCAAGGATGCCAAGAGTGGCTGGGAGCGGCTCGCACTGACAGACCTGTTTCGGGCAAAAGTATCGTTTAGGCTTTGAGGTTTGGGGCCTAAGGTTTGGGTTGAGGGTATAGACCTTAGGGGTTTAAAGTTTAATTAGGCTTCAGGGTTTCGGGCCCAAGGCTATTCAAGGAGTTTGGGGTTTGTATATGTTAGGCGACGGTGGGCGCTGTCCCGCCATGGCCAATAGGGATGAAAGCACCACATGGTCTCAACCCAAACAAAGGCAGACGAATGGTTCGCGGGAGTCGCCTCAACCTGGACAAGTGGCCCCCTATCACGCACACGCGTAGCATTGTTCGCCCGCCCCCCCCACCCAAACTATTCTGATTTAGGGTTTAGGGTGCGTCTTGCTCTTCACTCACCTTGTTAACTCTCTGCGCCGGGTCGGATTCAAAAGCCACGGGCAAAACGGCTGCTTGCTTCTAGGAAAGCGCTCGCGCCTGAGCCTCTGAGAGGGTCGGCTTTCTGGCGTTTGCTTGGCATTTTACGGGAGTCGAAAAGACAAGAGCCACCCCGTGAGGCCCTGGAAGGACTGTCAAAGGGCACAAGATTTCTGGCCTAAGCCCAAAGCAATTAATTACCCAAAAACCGATAAACCCTAAACAACACAAAGGGCTCGGAGAAGCTGTCAGCTCTGGGAGTCCTCAACTAAGAATCACCAGGTACCCCGCAAAAGACACTTTAACTTTATAGCCTTTCAGGGCGTACAAAGTAGTACTGCCCTCAATTTCTATGCTGCAGAGGCGGCAAAGAGCTTGGGCAGCCACTTGCTGCCATCCGGCACCCCACCGCCTACAGCCTCAGCACGCAAATTTTCCGGCATCGCAACTGTCTGCAATTCCGAGTGTCTGTATGGGGGGGGGGTCCTAGCCAAGGACTCCAAAAGCTCATTTGTGCATGTGAAATTGGTTGTATTTATCGTTTACAAGTAAGACCCTTATAATCCTTGTAAGGGCCCCCGAAGCTGTCCTAAAATTCTACAGTGTTCTACACCTCGTGGCCCCGAAGTTCTGAACACTAAGTCCTAAAAAACCTCTCCCTGGCCGCGATCCTCTGGGGTGCCCGACGGGATTTGCAACATGGGGCGGGCGACCCGATGGGCCTACAAAGAATCAAAGTGTTCAGGGCTCTTTCCTACCTCCATCAGTTTGTATGTGCTTCTCTCACATCCGCCCATGATTCCGCATGATTCCGCCTATACCAAGCCTTCAAAAGAAAGAATGCGAGAGCCATCACGAATGCGAATGCGAATGCGACCAGCGCAGTGCTCTCCGAGGCCTCGCATGGGCCGCCGAATCGAGCCACCAGCCTCGTGGAGGGAGTCCAACCTGAGCGACCCAAAAAAGTTTTCAAAAGCTTTTTTCAAAGGCTTTTTTCAAAAGGGGTTTGGGGTTTACGGTGGGGCGAAGGGTGACCCGGGCCTTAGGGTGACTAGGTTGGAGCTTAAGGTTTAGGTTGGTCACCGCGCTTAGGGTGACTAGGTTGGAGCTTAAGGTTTAGGTTGGTCACCGCTGATTTGGGGCGAACTTGTGGGGCTCTAAGGTTCTGCTCTTCCTTTTGGGTTTTGACACGTGCCGGAACTTCTGAACTGCCTTGAGAATCCGACCATAGACCAAGGCCAGCAGCGGACTACTGGAAAAACGTGATTCGGAAAATTGGACAACGCGGATTCGGAAACAGCGGATTTAGAAAACTGGAAAGTGCCGATTTGGGAAACCGCGGATTCAGGAAACCGTGGATTCGGGAAACCGCGCATTCGAATCTCTAAATTTTCGGAAAGCACCCCTCGCCAGACAGAAGTTCCTGAATCCTGGTCTCCTGAGCCCCGGTTTCCTACAGTTTTTGAATCACGCATCGTTCCTAAACCTGTTTCGAGCAGGACAGCAGACCCAGACGTTAAGCTTAGGAAAATGCTGCTTCGGAGTGCAGAGAAGGTGTAAGCTCGGGATTTGGCTTCAGGGGGCTTCCTGAGCGGCGTGTGTTGGGTCTTGCAGTGAGCAAGCGGGCTGTCGCGCATTGTCATTGTCCAATGGCGATGGCGAATTAAGTTCAACGGATTCAAGAACACAGGCCTCGATTTGAATCCCATGAAGCAATGGCTCTGATGATGTCGCGGACCTTTGACTGGCCACCTGACTCTGATGCTGAAAAGCCAGAACCTGTCCAGCTTGTTCAGTTTGTCATAAGCATGAGCTGTACAAAAAAGATTACTTCAATCCAGAAAGAAATCCAGAGAGAATTGAACCTCTACTCAAAGCGACGCAGATCATTCGTACTAGGATAGATGGTTACTATTGAATAGCATGGGTGCAGGCCTCGTGCACGCTACAAAATGAAACTTTGGCCGGGGGGCAGGAGTGCAGACTACTTGGGCGCGGTCTAGATTGCTATGCGTCAAGGAAACAACAGAAGCTGCAGAAACCATGGAAACAATACAGCACGCGGAAACAATAGAAACCACGGAAACACACAAAACTTAGAAACTTTTGGAAACCATGGAACAGTGGTTTGATACAAGCCAGAACGGCATCAGTTTGCACACGCCGTACTATTTTCCTAACACAGCCACACGATCTGAGACACTTGTCAGCGCACTGTAGTCGCGGGTTCCAAGATGCCCTAAGATCCTCTTGCTTATCCTTGTTTCAAGTCTTACAAAGCAAGCGGTGTCTGTTGCTTTGCTGTGCTCCTGGCATGGCCTGCGCCGCTCGCTTGGAAGCGCTGGACCTCGTGCAGGGTTTCGGCCCCAGGGTGAGAAGTGATTGTGGGCATAAGCCCCTAGGACCCTCATTCCCCGCAGGATTTCTCCAAGTTTGGGTCCTCCCACCTCTCCAGAGTCAAGGCAAAAATGGAATCCTAAGTAAGCCCTGCGCCATCAAGACTCGAAGCTTTGGATTGTTGCGAAATTCCTGGAAAAGTGTACCCTAACCCTAATTTTTAGATTCTCCTGAAGTCGTAATGATCAGCCGAAGTTCCAATAATCTTTTGCAAGGCTGTAAATCATGTAATCTAGCGCTTCATGTCATCGCGCAGGTGGAGAAGAGCCAAGTTTAGGGTTTAGGGATGTCATTGAAAACACGGGACCGACGGGTCTCTTGCCAACGATGATCTAATGTCATGTTGATACCTTAATTGGCAACTCTGACTGCAACGGGTACCCACCACGACTGCCGCCGCATCCGCGGCAGCTTCTACATCGATTCTGCTGCCACAGACCGCGGCAGGAAGAGACAGCAACTCTTGACGCATTGTCTCACAAGCCAAGCTCCACACACCCATGACGAGGATGTGCCCACCGGGATGTCTGAAGTCTCCTAAACAGTAGAACTTGCAAGGCTTCTGATAGTTTAGAGCCCTATAGACCCTACGAATCCCAAACTCTTGTGTGCATCAAGCATCAGAAGTCAAAAAGATCCCGTGTCCTCGAAGCTCTTCTTTGTCTTCAGGAAAGGAAGCAGGGGCGACTTCCCGGGGGACAGCATGGGCGCCGGGCCCTGCAAATTTCAGCGATTGGGGCCTTTTAGTTTTTCTGCTAACCCTACACCTTGAATCCCCTTAAACCGACAAACCTATTCTTAACTTGACTCCAGGTTCAGCATCCGAACCCGGAAATATCACTTCAAAGCCTTAGATATCCTACCTGTTTTCCACACCCTAACTCCTCCCTGCGTGCTGTGCTGCCTCACCCTCGGCACAGACCCATCCCACCACGGGAGGAGTTGAACCTTGCCATCGACTGTGCGTTCGGGAGTTCGGGCTGAGGTTTTGAAGATCTGAGGGCTTGGGGGATGCTTGCGTTGGATGGTTCGTGGGCCAACCACTTGAGTCGAAACTTGATCAAAATGCGACGACATAAGACTACCCTCGGCTGCGGGTGTAGGGCCAGCATACTTGAAAATTAGCATCATGTCTTGCAAGCCCCGTCTTACCCACAAGCCAACCCTCCACCTTAAGTCCCGAACCCGAGCTTCGAGTAACTTACGGTCATATGCCAGCAAACCTCAGCCCATTTTTCTTGAACTGGGCGGAAGACCTCGCAATCCCGGGGTTTCTGGGGCCGAAAACCCGAACATTTCACACAACAATAACCCGAGGAACAGTAGGCCAGTAGGCTTTGGGATCTCAGGCTTTCGGGCGTTTAGGCCGCAAGTGCAAACACTGAACTGCTACAACAGAGCTACCGTCAGCCTGCAGGAATGCGCATGCAGTGGTAGAGCTCCACTGCTCGCAAGGACCACTTGAAGGTGGTACCTGCATCCACGACCCCTCAGTTCAAACCGTGTCTACCCCCAACCCCAACCCCAACACGACACTCTACACTTAACACATCTTAAAACCCTCAGCCAAACACAAAAACCCCAAACCCCACAGGTCACTCCCCCGCAAGTCGACCAACGACCAACCCTCGTCGCCCTTGCGCATGAGCACCAAGGACCTCCGATGGTCTGTGGCTCAGAGTGCCGCTCCCAAACTTTCTGCTCGAATCTTGGGTTGCAACGTGCCAGGCTTCTGAAAAGCATCGGCGTGGTTCACCTGACAGCCAACAAAGGGAACGGTGCTGGACCTAACATGCTAAGGGCGCTTAGCCGTTCCCTCACCTTCCCTCGCGTTCCCTCATGTTCCCTCCGCCTGCTGCGTGCTCCGCGTGTACAGGCCATTCACGTACCATTCACCGGCTCCCTGAACCTGACTCTCGGGCCGTGTCGGGGCGACAAAAATCTTCATTGAAGTTCGGATGAAAGGCAGAATAAGGCAGAAGGGTCGAGTGAGTCGAGTGGCTTCGGATGTGTTGCACATGCTCCAAAAACTGAGCTTCAGGCTTCAAAGGAAGACCCTGGCACATAAACATGGGAGGCCTGGCAGTCTGTCCCAATGTACGAGCAACGGTTGCGATATGTTGATCCAGAGTAGGTCCTATGCAGCCAAGTTAACCGTTTGCGCGAAACGATGTTTGTGAGTCTCCAAGCTCCTTAAAAACTCCATGCGACAATGTGCACTTTGATGTCAGATGCATCTACGACACACATATGGCTGTGTTTTGCCAGCTTATGAATACCTGTCATGCATGCAATGTATGCGCTTTGGAAAGTTCGCCCGCACCTTTGCCCGTGGAAGTCCTCGATCGAGCGCCGTGTTCATGATGCCTTCGTCAGTGCTGCCAGCGACAGTTTTGACATTCCCCACACGCAACAGATAGATGCATTTAAAATGATGCTTGTCGATAGGCATCACGAAAACAAACAGAAGGCACAATGCAAATGACTCATGATCCATGGTACCACGCAGCCTGACTTCAACCACGCATCGCATGGACAAACATCGCAGGAACAAGGGCCGTGAAAAAACACATCACCTACACTACAACATGCGGTTGGTTGAATGTATTGTGGTTGGCTAGGTGGACAATTGCCATCGTTTTCAATGCATGTGACAGTAGCACTGCTATGCTATCCAACACAGGCGATGACATGATTCACATGCATCCGTGTGTTGGACTGCCGAAGCATGTGAAACATAACTTGCTTGTGCCAAAAACGATCACCAATGTGCTCAAACAATCGGAGCGAAGGCAACTGCCAAAGCTGAAACAATAAAAGCCTTTGCAAAGCGATAAGCGGCCGGTTACATATGACGAGTAGGACGAGTAGATCTTGGAATGTGCGAGCAACAGCATTGTGGAAATCGTGTTGGGGGCCAGGGCATAATATGTAGACATGTTAGCTAAGAGCTCAAGAACTCTACTGCAGTGCACGTATTCTGCTGACCATGTCCAAGTAGATTGCCTCAATCCTTCCAGAGATGGCTTAGCAGCCACGAAAGATCATGTGGCACATAATCTTGGCGATGAGGTTGAGGACACCCAGCCCAGGGGCTTGGTCATCATCTCGTACAGTGTGGCTGTTTGTGGCCTCCGTGCGGAATTGGGCATACTCCGTCGCCTCTTTTCCGACAGGGGTCCCAGAATACTGGGGACTGGTTGCTTAAAACCACAACCCGGCTGTCGTCACTCGCTTGGCATTGGGATCCCGAACCTGATACCGCCATTTCTCACTGCCCTGCTTTGACCGCCTCCGACAGTGTGAACCGCGCGTCCTCGCCACTGCCATTGTCCCTCATGCGCTGCATGGCTATGATGGCAGCGGCAGGGCTGACATTGTCCTTACCCGCATTGCATGGAGCTTCTGCTGCTTGTATACCTGCACCACAAGCCACCCTTCATGGTGATGACCGGCCTTGGTGTTCCGCATTTGCAACACTTCCCCACGCCGCATGCAGAGCAAAGCCATCCAACATGGCACCCAAACAATAGTCTGGATCAGGCATGACCCTGACTGCCGGAAATTGCCCGTTCTCCACGAAGGGGAGCCGTTCGACTCCCTGTTGGCAGGCTTGCCCGGTGAGTATGGTGATTATCAGCTCAGTTTCCCAGTCGATGGGATTCGCAAAGGGAAACCCATCTTCCATACAACCCTCTGCCCTGGGACATGCTTCGACAAGACATCGTAGTCCACGACCCATTCTGAAGGCGACGATTGGAGGCGGTGATTCTAAGAGGAGATATACCGTGTGAAAGTCAGCTGGGAGAAGCAGGAGTTGAGTTTGCCAATTCCTGCAGGAGGTCACGTGGTGGCATGTTTTGCCAACTGGCGTTATCAAGGAATCGGCATAGTGTCTCCTGGAAAGGCTGTGTGTGAAGTGGGTTGATTCCCACTTTGTGCGCAGGGGTGTGTGCTAGAGCTTTCTCCCTGTGGCAGCGTATTGCAGGGTTCGTATTCCCAGTTGGGACCATCCAGAGACTAGGGCCTCCTTGCATGGGATACTGCTTACTGTGGACATATCCCTCGGTCATCCGTCATCCGTGGTGCAACCTTGAACGCATGGCGGAGTCCCGAGTGGCAGGTAAGGGTGCCAGGATCAAGGGCCGTAGTCCCACGTGTCAGCGAGGCAGTGGCTCTTGCAGCTCCGCCTTCAAGAAAATGAGTCCAATTCGCCGTAATTCGCCGGTGGCATTCATTAACAAAATATTTCGCCTTTAACTTGAGATTGACTTCAACTTCGAGACGAGACTAAACAATGTGGAATCGAAATACCGAATAGTTCGACAGAAAATAGAAACTCATCTTTATATGCATTACCTCCTATCCAACGAGGATCGTAATCAAACCTTTAATGACCATTCGTAGAAAACATCAAATCCTGCGCTGGGGCTCATCCAAATTTCTCAAGTCTCAAGCATCGTACGCAAGGCAAAAGATCAGCCAATAAAAGATCAAGGAAAGTTCCAACGCCATGCGGTCCCTAAATATAGCTTATACGAACAATTGTACAATGTCAGGCAGATTGTAACCCCAAAGCGTATCCGTCGTCGAGGTAGTGGCCGTCCCTTATATGAATCCGGAATGCTTAAAGAGCTATTTTCCATCACCTCCATCACGCTTTGCATTATCGCCCATTGAGCCTTCAAACTCTTCAACATATGAGTCCAAGCGCTTTCCGAGAGACATTCTTCCATGACTCAAGAATGTTTGCTATTGGGTGAACATGTCCCACGGTCGATGTCTACCCTTCGCTACACTTCAAGGCTCATGTCGCCGCCTCATCGCACCTAAAGTTCCTTTTCGAAAATACTGCACATGTCTCCTTGCATGAGCTTTCAGAACCGTCGCAAAGACCTGGCCACAGAGTCGGATGGTTTAGGTCTTCGAGGGTCAGGGCTCAGTGGCAGCTGACTGGCAGCTGCCGTTCTATTCTCGATTTATTCTTGATAAGTCCTACCGTTGCTTCCATCCCTGGAAACCGTCCGGACTATCCGCATCCCTTCCGCTCTATCTTTTGCTGTTGGGCACTTGGGCATCGCTGGGGCAAACGTTAGACCGTTAGACGTTAGGCTTCGACGTGAAGATTCTTCTTCGTATTGCTCCACTAAATAGCACTAGAAATGATAGTGCGATCGCGGTCGTGATCTGTATTGCCGTCGCTGTCGTTGTGGTCCTACTCCTTATCGTTTTGCTACCGGACGCAGGAGCAACGAACATTGATGCTTTTTGTTTAAGCTAGCCAGGTCTAGGGTAAACAAACCGGCGTCAACGCAGTTAGGTACGCCTGCTGCACACCTTCTAAATTTCGATGTGCTCTCAGACCGACAGACTCTATAGTGCTGCTGTAGCATAACAGCATGAGAAATGACGGCTGGAACTGACATCAACGGAGCACTCGCTACTCCATTGCATTCGACCAGGCCCAAACAGGCGGCCGTGCTCGTCATGGTAGCGCTGGTACATGTCCTGACGGTGGCGCAGATTGGCCAGTCAGCAGCAAGGAAACATACTGTGACAGTTTTCGATCACTGCCCAAGTGCGTACCTGCAACCTATCACACAATCTTGCGACACAGGAAGGAAATCGACCTAGGCTTCTTCAAGCACGCTGCTGGCAAGGAATGTAAGGGTTTTGGTCTCGGTCTTGGATATTGACAACTGTTGATAAGGTTGGAAAGGATAGACTACGCGGCAGTTGAAGATCACGATCGCCGAGAGAAGAGCGCAATTTGCATTGTCCCATCCTGCCCGGCTTCTACCTCGCACGTCTCTTCGCACGTGGAAGCCTCACTCTTAGTCTCTTCATTATTTTCGGCCCTCAAGCCTCCTGACCCCCCCCTCCCCCCAGCCCCCATCCAAGCGTATGTCCACAACATCCTGAAAGGAGCAAGCCTGGGTTTGGTAACGAGGATTTAGAAAATCGGGTTTAGGGTTTAAAGCACGGGTTGAGGGCTAAGAAGCTTAAAGATCTCCATATGCCCGAAGCTGCTCGATAGGAAGGAGGCTCACTTGTAAACCGCCTAAGCTGCCTAAAAACCCGTACCAACATTTCACTTCCTAGAGCGCTCCTCACAGAAGTCCCGGCCCAGGACCGAAGAGCAGCCATTGAAAGAAACTACCAGATCCTGGAGGCATCTTTCCATATAGAGGTTCGGGACTTGCAGAAGGGCTTGCGGCTTCTTCACTCACAAGGGCTTTAGGCCACTCCAGGGGTATGGGATTGAGGCCCTCACATGCTGCGACCTCAACAAGCAGAATCCCCAAGGGCTAAATCTGAATCCAGGCTACAGCCTCTAAGGTGCTTCTTGGGCTCTATGACTCTTTGAGTTGATTTCTGAAAGAAACCAAGCTCCAGAGTCTGGGGTTTAGGGTAGCCGGGTTTACAAATTAGGGTGTATGGGGAACCCAGAAGGTTTATGAAGCTCATGGTGAAGGAGTACAGCATCGCATCCCGTGCAGAATCTGAACTTACTGACTTCGCACCTTAACTTCCCTGAGGAAGAATCACTGGCAAGTTCTTAAAGCGCTACCGAGGGAAACCCTTACAAAAAACTCGAAAGCCTAAACAATGAGACGTAAACCCAGGTCCCTCTGGGCACACTGAGGCACGTGCTCCTTCCTCGTACCCCTCGTGAGGCTGCGCGGGGGGCGACAAACTGTGGCACACAGACAGCTGCAACAGACCAGCACCGCAACCCCCAAGCACCGAGCCAAGACTTTCATTCAGAACTCTCAGCCCTGCACAGGACTATTTCAACTTTGGGAGAATCTGTTCAGGAGCTTTGAAGCAAAGGGGCCATAGAGGTCAGGGAAGCCCAGGACTTGGCAGACGACACGCTCACAAAGCTATGCAGCGACACACTGTTGCTTGTGGAGGAGGGGCACCAGTGCGTGCAGCGTCTTCTGCACAAGCCTTAGCAAGCAACACAGGGACGCAGCACTCTCCAAGGAGTCGTTAAAATCCAGGCTCTTGCATGCTCAACCAAACCTTACAGCTTGGAAAACAGGTTTACAGGGCTCAAAACGGATGCTGCCTCATGGTCTCTCACTGCCTTCTGTATGCTTTGGGCCATTTTCAGTATATCATGCTCTGCTCCAAAGCGTCAACATCCGCTGCATCTGGAATTCAGCCTCCTCTTGTCCTTGCCGAGGGGCTCTTGCGGGTAGGAGTTGAGGGAGCGCTGCCTGTGTCCGGCATGGATGATGCGAAACTCTGCCAAGACAAGGCTGCGCTTGTAAGTCCACCGCCGCAGGAGTACAACGTGCTCATCATAGCCTGGCGAGTTGACCCCCATTACGCCGGATACGCTTTAACGGGGGGCGAACACAGAAATGCCAAAACACAGAGCAACCTGCAGAACGAGCACGACTCATGAGCAAGCCCTCGGGTCAGGCTCCTTGGGACTTTAGGGCAGAAGGTCGATCATGGTCGCGGACCATAACGCCGTAAAAATCGAGGAAGCCACAGTTGCTTCTCTCCGAAAGGCAGAGAAAATTAGCCCCGGAACTCTCTTGAATTGCGATGTCAAAGGCCTGAGTGCTTCTCCTCCGCTCCCCTGCAGCCCGCCCGCGACCCCTGCGAACTCCCAACCCTCAAAGGCCTGACTCAAAATCGTTTGCCGCCGGCAAGGGCATTGCTTGGATTGGCCCGCCAAATCTTGCTCTTGAGAGTCCGTGCACCGTGGACAAACAGAGCATGTATCTACCCCCAGCAAGGCCTGCGGAAAGCGGGGATGTTGCCGAGAGTGTCTCCTGAAGCTCAGGCCTTGGCCAGGAATCAAAACTTGGAAATCAACCCTCCCCGATGTCTTATGTCAAGGATGGAGGAGTCTTGCTTGGTGTTCCTTGCGCCTCTTGGGCCCCTTTAGGCGTTCACTTCCGACATGTCGGCACAAGCATCATCCTATTTCTGTCCTTGCAAACGGGCCCACATGTGGAGTTCTACCAGATGATGCTCTCCGCCGGCTCATCCTCTACATGTCTCTCTTTGGCTGTTCAGCTGTGTGGGGAAAGATTTCCTAGCCTTGGCTTCGGACTAAGAAGCGACGGATGATCAACCTGTTGAAAGGTCCAACTGAAAATTGTCTTCTGGCCAGGCATAGCTAGACTCTCCCTCTCTCTCTCGCTCTCTCCCTCTCTTATTCTCTGCTGGATAAAAATATGTGTGCGTGGTTCACAGAGTCGTTGCAATGAAGACACACTCTCTGGTAAGATTCATCAAAAGCCATCTTCAGATTAGGCACACCCTCCAAATCAAAGGGGACTAGCACCTAGTGACATACGAGAGTTGAACTGCCGAGGCGCCAAAACTATGTGGACATGGACAGAAACCCTCCCTCAAGCAGTCCGCTCCTTTCGCAACGCACCTCCAAACCCTAAACCCTAACCGTAAGCCCCTTAGCCCAAAACTCGCCACGCCCAGTACCCCTCTCGAGGCACGTGCTCCAAGAGGCCCGTGAGAATGGCTGGCACCAGGCCAAGGTACATCAGAGGCGCCTGTTCGGCCAAAGGGTCTTAAACCCCCCAAAACAGGGCTTCAAAATTTTGCGTTTTAAGGCTTTCTGAGGCTTAAAGGCTTAACTTAACGTTTATTGGTTTTTCAGGGCCTCTCGGGTTAAGTTTGCTTTTGCCTGTTGGAAAAGTAAGAAATTAGTCCCCATATCGAACCGCGAGTGCAACCTTAACCCCTCAGCCCTAAACCCTCAAGACACGAACATAGACCTTGTATGTAATTCAACTAGAACCTGAGGAGTCGATGGCCTCGCAAACGGCGTTCAACAATATGATGAAATGTCTTACTTACCTCAAAGCAATTAGCTTTTGCCACCATCAGTCAGGGGCTGCGACAAAAGTTTGTCTAAACTCAAGCCAAAAAACAGAGGCTGAACATACCGCGGAGCTTCAGTACATTGAAAGGTTCTGGAAGGAGCCCTGGTCACCCCGGGCCACCCTGCCCCCAACCCCCAAAGTTTTTCGGTCTCAGCTTCTTGCAAACCAAAAGCCTGCACAATTTGGGGGGGGAGAGGGGGTAAGTACCCCTGATTTGGGAAACCCCTCATTTCTCCAAACCCTAAACCCCACCCCATAACCCCGCCTGCTCATGCCAGGGCATGTGCTGGAAGGATTGAGGCATGGGCGCGGAGAGCAAGTCGACCTCGGATTTCCATCCTAGATCGCGCGTGTTGAATAAACCCTCAGGTCCTCGGGCTCGGGGTATGTCAGGGCATTTCGCTTTTTAGAGGCACCCTCGAGCCCGAACCCACAACGCCACTGACAAAGCCGAAAACCTAAGGCCGAACTGAAAGCCGCGGCCGATTCTTTTTTGCCCGTTTTTGCTGATCAAACGAACACCTCGTCGTCGAGCACTGAGTAGGTCACTGCTGCCTTGGAAGGGCACTTCTCACAGGGTTTGGAGGGTTCGGGGGATGTAAGAGGACCTTGAGGTTTATGCAAGGCGAGTGCCTTTGGGGTTCGAAGGCAGGGGCTTTTTAGAATTCTTTCAGGTCGCTTTTCTTTGAAGGGATGCTTTAGAAGAGGTCTCATGGCTGAACTCGTGGCCTCCCCATCGATCCTTGAACCCTGTGGCAGGACTCTAGCCCTCAAGGAACCCAATGCCGCCGCGGCGCGCTTTGCAGCAACAAGGTCGGGTTCGAGCCATTGAAGTGAGGGATCGTCTTGTTCTGTGCCCTGCCGGGTTCTGAAAGTACTTCGGGAACCGCCAGCTAATCAATTAACTGAAACCGATACATACGATCCCAACGCACCAAACCTCGTGCGAATTCATAATTCAATACGTCCTAAGTCTCCGCCGCCGCTGGAGATCTTTGCGTGCCTCTCGCATTTATCGTCCACAGGACCACTGGCATAATCAATTAACTGGGACAACAGCAGCAACAGCAACGCGCACTCGAATGGCAACATGTCACGTGCTGAAGCGTGCTGGAATAGAAAGGGGAGTGTGCTATCACCAAAACTGAACACATCTTTCTGTGCCATGGTCCTGAGAGGGACCCGAAGATGCCACTTTCATATGAAGCCCTCAGTGCTCCCCTTTCCATCGCAGCTCTACTAAGCAATGCTGATGCTTTGGGATGCAAGCTGAAGGTGGGCGCATTGAACTTGAATGCTCTATCTCTAAACTCTAAACTTATACAAGGACGGCATAACCAACCAGCTGTAGGCGACAAAGGGGTTTAGGGTGATTCTGGTTTGGTCTATCGTCCATGCCTGTTCCCTAGAACGGGAAACAAATGTGCAACAAGCTGAAATTGAGGGTGACCAGTGCCGCATGAAGCAGACTTTAAGCCTGGGGCCTAGCTTAGGCTTGGAACCGCTTGTAGGCGTGAGCCTGTAGTACTTCTCCCAAAAGTCATGAGGTTCCCATTGCAGAGGAAACTCGGCGTCGGTGAAGACGAGGTGACCTTCAGCTCAACCATGCTGGGCATCTTCGCGAGCATGCTACGACACTTGTGGCCGGGTATAGTAGGAGTTGAATGGAACATGCTCCAGACTTGTTTAAGCCACGCTTGTCGTGGCCAAGGTTTCTGCGATGGCGGCCGTATGCAGTACTTGCAGTGACAGAAGCCGATGGCAGTAGAGCCAGGCAACAAGTTCTGAGGCCTCCGAGGTTAGCCATCAGTTTTCTGAAACTTCGAGACGACCTTTTGCCGACCTTTTGGCCATTGCCCCTGAGGAACCGCAAGTTTAGGGATGGGTTTGGGTCTTGTACGGAGTTTCTGTAGGAAGCAGACAGCAACACGTCAACAGACTCAGCAGACACAGGAGAAAGCCCAAAAGCCTGAACATTCCAAAGTGCGGGAATCGATTCAGACAGTACACGGCCACAGCAGTCAATCTGTTCCACAGGGTTGGAAGAATGTCCAAATCCCAACTGTTCACGCCAAAGGGGCGATTCAAGGCAGAGCGGTAAGCGTAGTCGACCAAGCTGGAGCCTCGGAGTAGGCACCGTTTCGAGCGCTGGTCTTTTAAGGCGGGAGGGGGGGAGTATTTTGGAGGAGAAAGGGGAGTCAACTGGATAGACAAGAGGCTTAAAGCCCGTTCATGAAGCAGGCTGCGAGAGCTGTATATGAGCTCTGTAGCCCGGATTCTACAAATCCAGGTGCAACTGTCAGCGGGACGGCGCTCGCGGTCGAGAAGGTACGACAAGACAGATAAACTGAACTTCAGGCAAGTATCAAGTGCCCGTATAGCTACTCATACGGCTTAATGTGTACAATTAAATAAATACATGCAAATAAATAAATATAAATATATACACGCACGCACTCCCTTCAATCCAAGATGCAGTAGTAACTCTCGCGTCCCAGAGTTGGTGGCTGCAGGGTGTCATGTGCGGGGCGTTGCTAACGCACGCACGCAGAGGCGGCTTGCTTCATGGTTTCTACCTCAAAGCCTTTCGCAATGTCGAAGTCGCCACACAATCCAGACGCAGAAAGTATGCTCCAAGGCACCATGGTCGCTTGCAGCAGGGTGTTGCCTTACCGAAACTCTAAACCCCTTTCGACTGTCAGGCCTGGAAGTCTTGGGCGTACGGGTCCCCCACCTTTCCAAGAGCCCATGTGGCGGCGTGCTCGCGAGTGGCCTCGCAAGGATTCTAAGTCCGAAGGGTTTCGTCACAAACGCAGTAGTGCCAGGTTTGGGGATGTTTGGGGTTTGGGTTCCAACATGTTGCAAAGCCAGATGCAAGTGAGAGGGTTCGGAAGTGGACTTGGCAAACTCTTCAGACAGGTCATCCCCCCTTCCCCCCATCCCCGTGAGCCTGATCTGCGCCAGGGAGTTCCTGGGAGGCATAGGGTTTAGGGTTTACAGAGTTTCGGGGTCAGGGTTCAGGGACAGCCACAACATGAAGCACTTGTGAGCTGTAGTCGCCTGATGGACGACGTTCGCTTCAGGTTTCGTTTGAAGCTCGTCCCTCCAGTCTTCCCTGACGCTCCCGCACCTTGAGCTCGAACCCTTTTTTAAGAGTTCCTGGGCCTTCCTGTAGCGTTCTCAAGAAACCCTCAGCAAGCAGTCCCAAAACTCAAGCCATCATGTGAAGACATTTGCAGACAACGTGAATTATTATCAACGTCTAATAAAGTCTACAATCGATTCTTCTGGCTTTGTGGGAATTTGTTTGTCTTTGAGTTTGGTGCTTCATTCCTCCAGACAGCCAAGAAAGCCCAGGCAACTCTTCCAGCCAACCAAGCAAGCATCGAAAACACTGGACGATGAACAACTATCACTTCGAAAATCCCCACCCGCCTGAGGCTCCCAGGCCTGCTTAGTGTTTCGGTACAGTTGCCCGCCTGTGTCCCGCCTGGTGTCCTGCCCCACACCTGTCCTAGCTGCTGTCCTTGCAGTGTCCTGACTGCGTCACGCCACATGATGCGTGCCACTTTGTCCATCAAACTAGCTACCCCACTTGTCGGGTGGGGAATAAGGTAGTATCGGAATGCGGGTGAAGGGAATTTGCGGGTGTTGACAGTTGGGAACGTCTGCTCGAGTCACGTGGCAGAATGCAAGAGGCCACGCGGTCGGTTGCCACTTGTCAGGGACAACCGTGCCCGAAGCACAAGACTGGCTTCTCTGCCAAGCTGCTCCCACAAAAACCACGGCCGCAGCTGCATAGGATGACCTCTGGCTTTCCCAGCTACAACCTGCATATCATCCTGCTTTCCCTCTTCTGACTTCCTGCTGTGCGCTTTTGCGGTAGATGACTAAGGTTGATAGGACTCTTACTAGACTCTTGCAGGGTTTGGCTTTAGGCTATTTTGGGATCTTAGGGTGCTTCAAAAGCTCAGCCATGGTGCCACCACTTCTCCAAGCTGAGAACTTCAACATCGGCCGCAGCCTTGAGAAGCTTGGTAAATTCATCTCCGATATGGGGGGTGTCTCAAAATGGCGATACCTCCTGGAGCAAGGATTCCAGTCTTTTGGGGGGTGGATTGGGGGCACCCCGATTTAAGAACATGCTCATATCTGTAATTAAGAGTTTCACGAAAGCTCATCGCACGAGCTTCGATCCCATCGGCCTGGACGATGGTCGTTGCATTGACGGCCATGGCCACATGCGCTGCAGTGTCTCGTTTGAGGATCTGACGCCCTCGGTCGAAGGCGCATTGGGCTTAAGGCTCTATTCACGCTGAAGATGTGGGAACGAGCTAATTGGATGACTTGTCCGATCTCCCACTCACCCAGCTGAAGGGCCCTTCATTTGGCGACCCGACAAACTCTTTCAGAAAACTGCATTGGGCTGCCGAGAGGCCCTGCGCCTCTAGCCAGCTCACAGTTGCCTGTCCTGTGGCCTGCCAAGAATCCGGGTTAGGTTTGACGGTCAGCGGCCTGCTTGTTTCAACAGCAAACTCAAGAACAGTTCGCACGACCTCAGCTAGACTGTCACTTTGCTGAGAGCTACTCCACTCAATGCCTGCGCCCTATGAACATAAGAATGGCAGCTGTCGGCCCGGCTCTACAACTGTGAAGCAGCCATCCGGAGCTCTGAGGGAGTTGGCATCTTCAGCATCTTCAGCACCAGTGACGAGACTTTTTCAGCAAACATCCCAGGGCACTGGACCCTGACACAGACTCCTGATCTTAAGCCCAAACTTGTAGCCGGCCAACAGTATGAACCCCAAAGCCCTCGCTCCCAAACTGCAGGGCGGTTTACAGGCCTCGATGGCGCGGCTGAGGGGGTCCGAGGCGTTCATGGGCCTCTTGCGCAGGGGCCTACGGGCCTAAAAAGGCGTTACAGTTAACAGTTCTTCACTCAATGTGGACTTGGATCGCGCATTGTCCAAGCTCCTGTAAACTTCCGGCAGAAAATGATGTCTGAGTCCGTACCATGAGACATGAGAACAATAAGTTAGACCCAAAAACCTCCCAGTGTCCTGTGTACGAAGAGCAAGTCGCCAGGCTGCAGGCTCGGTAGAGCCTGGGCTTGTGGTTGGTTGCCCTGACATTTGCTGTGCCACGGGAGTGGAGACTTAATTAAACTTCCTATGACCCGATGTCAAGACCCCCCAAAACCTGACAAGCCCCAGTGAATGATGTGTCGTCTGAACGTGCAGACAGTGTCACGGCTAGGAAACGACGGTGCTTGATTGCTTCATGCCTCCGCGCCCGCGCTTCAACATCTGCGTCTTCACTTCCAAACTTACGCAAGCAGGAATCAATAGGTGATCAACGGGCGTTTAGATCTGCAGGGTTGGCGTGTTTTGCTGTACGTACTGGGAAATGGACGAAAAGCCCCTTCGCCATCTCCGATGCGTTGTCAGTTGTCAGTTGTCAATGTGAAAGTATAAAGCCCAAGGTTTCGGCGTCGGCGGTGACAAGCATCGCGCTCAAACCTCCGGTGCGCCGTCCGTGCCAAATCACTCCGCCTCGAAACTGGGCATTAAAATGAGGGGAAAAAGACCAGTCCAACCGCAGCACCCATCACACCTTGAGACCCTAACTCTCATATCTTAACCTCTGTCTCTAGGAGTTAAACATAAGGACCAAGAACCACCATGCGTCCACCATTACACCTATCTTGAGACCTGGCGTAAACTTTTTGGGCGCCATCCTGCACTCTCACAAATGCTTCGGCCAAATGCCTGCGTAGTCGAAGGATGCAGTTCCAAGAAGGGGCTTGTCGCAAAGGCTTGTCGCAAAGGCTTGTCGCGGAGGCTTGTCGCGGACAGGCTTGTCGCAAGCAGAACGGCTTTGTTACAAACCCTATGTCGCGGAAGGACGCCCGGGAGCCAGTTACATACCTAGACTTTTGAGCCGCACCCAAATTGAAAAGAACGTAGTTGCCTCTCGGGATGTGCATTTTTCGCGCGAGGTGCGGGTCCCGCGTGCACAAACACTCGTGAAGTGCAGATGATCGCTTGCGGCGCCCCTTATTGGGGAGTGGTGTCTTTCGTGAAACTTTTGAGTAGGTCATCGTGGAGTGCACTCACTCTCTCTCTCTCTCTCTCTCTTTCTTTCTTTCTTTCGGAGGGCGTGGAGGCCGAAACCTCCGGGCGTCATCGCCCGCCCCTGTTTCCGGAGCGGTACTCGGGTACAGTTGAAGACAATGATGTGATGCTCTGCCCCCAACCCTCACTAAGTGTCCTCTAACCACTACCCCCACCACCCCATCATCCCCATCTTCACATCTCGCCTTCCGAGTGTGAGACTGTGCTCTTCCGGCCCGCACTAGGTTGGACTGTCATTTTTTTTCTCTCTCTCTCTCTCTCTCTCTCTCGGGCGGTGCGGTGATTCCACGCTCTGGGAGTGGTCTTCTGAGATGTCTTGAGAAGGGATCTCTGAGACTGTTTGGGGTCTGCGCCGGCATTTGCAGCGGGCATTTTGGGTAGTTTTTGGATCCTTTCTACAGTGTCAGTGTCAGGATGTTGGCAATTATATAGGTTCCTGTATTGCAGTAGATTGGTGAGCTCTCCCCTTCTCCTGTTGTAGTCCTAGATCGTCGTAGAGTTCTAGCCCCAGCAGTTTGGTCGGTGCTTGCCATACAGATGTTTTCAAGACTTCCTCACAGCAATGCTTTCGTGTCTGGCCATTTTCTAGCCTCATGATGCCTCCTTCTCAACTGCTGCGCGACGCCGCTTCCGGTTTGACTGGGCCTTGTGTGAGCTTAGGGCTTGGGGTTTAGTAGGGTTGCGGGTTCAAAGCAGATGGTGGTATCTTGCCAAGACACTCCTATGCCGCAGAGGCCAGACACCAGGAGGAGAGCGGCGAGAGCCATGGCTGAGGCTGAGGCGTTCGTGCTCTGGATGTGCGTTCAGGGGGTTTCGGGAGTTTAGGGGGTTTAGGTGTCAGGGAGGTTTTTTGATTTTTTGGGTTTGTGTGATCAAGGTGCAGCTTGCGGTGATGGGCGTTCCGTCTGGGCTCGAGGACCTATCCAAGCTCCTAAGCCTCGAGCCCCAAGCGGTAGGCTCATGCTCTGTTGCCTTGAGCTTGAAGGGTTCTAGGTAAGGTTTAAGGGTGCTTGAGGTTGGGCTTTGACCAGGGCTTCGGAGCTGCAGAACTTGAAAAGTCACTCTCACATCAACCTCAGTGAATCCAAAGCTGCAAAATGAGCTGCCGGCTGTCCTTGCGAGAAAATCCTGGGCAAAAGCGAGGCCGAAGTGAGTGTTCGACGCTGTGAAGGGTATGAGGTACTTGTTGCTTGCGAGATCTACAACATCCATGGGAAGCCAGAATCCAAGAAAAACCATCTAAGCTGGCCAGTGCAACAGCGACCCTGTAGAGAGCATTGGAGTACATCGGATAATGACCACTTTCAACTTTCAACGCTTGCAGCAATAGGTAGCATCCCCAGCCTTGCCCCAGTCATTATGGCGGAGCAGGAACGAGCCGCTGTTCAACCTGACCGCTTTCCAGGTTTACGTGCATGAAGTATAGCTTCCGCTGCTCTTTCAGCTCGAACAAAGCGGTATCTGTCCCCCTTCGTGCCCCATGTCACCTGAGGCGGCTGCATCATTCCATCTTCCGCGATGAGAAGAGAGGCCTGGGGCGTCCTCGCAGCCACAAGGTTGTACATGCGAACGAATTAAATACTTTGCAATCTTGGATTTCAAAGCCTGGGTTGGTTTACCTTGACATGCAACACTCCGCCGCAATCCAGCAGTTTGACCTGAACACCAAAAGCTACTTTGAGCTACTCGCTGAGAATCGCTGAGAAGTTCCCTTTCTCCCTTCGTCGAATTCAAATTCAAAAACGGTCTCCTCTCCAAAGCTGCCTGAATCAGCGAGTCGACCGTCTTCCTCGTGGGTCCCAAGTGCTCTGCACTGCCCGAGACACTCTTGACGTTGGCTTGGGCACATTGGGGCACTACAGTTGAGAAGTTTGGATGGGGTTTAGGGGGTTCACGCAACTGGGCCGCGAACTTCGGATTCATGAAGAAGAGGTCGCAGTCCACCCAGAAGAGCCAGTCGAAGGACTTCCAGAAGTTTAGGAGGTTCAAGGCACGAGCTTTTTTAAGTCTTTAGGGATCTTAAGGGGCTGGCCTCAAGGTTCTGCTGAATGGCGATGAGCTTGTTCATCCAGGGGTGGGCCTCTCCAGGTCAGTTGCACTTTCGATTTTTTCAAGAGGCCGTTTAGAGGAGCTGCCGCGAAGCGGGCGATGATGCACTGGAGCCCCTGAGAAGCTAGGAGGGATGGTGCCTAAAAAGGCCTCAGGCAAGGCTCAGATATCTACTGAAATTGAAATTGGCGTCGCTCCACGTTACGTTAAACTTGCTCCCAAGGGCGGCAGGCCATGGTGACATCTTCGGCAGCACCATGCTACCAGTATCAGGAAACAAGCCTATCCTCACATAGCGAATGCCATGCAGCCTGCGTGACGTAGGGCTCCTCCACATGCATTAACCTCAAATGTGTCTGAAAAGCAACGGGTTGAGGTTGCTGCGAGCCCGGACCTACGAATCTACAGTGGTATACCTGTGCTGGACATAGGACCTCTGGTGTCCGAGGTCTGGAGGTTTGCGGGGGTGCAAATCTGTCTCCATACTCCAGCATTTGAGAGAAGCAATGAGGCCGGGCCACTGATAGCCATGGTAAGCTGCATAGGCACCTTGGTAGTGTGAATAACAGGACAAAACTCACGGTTTGACTTGACCCGGAACAACTGTCCGCTGCCTGCTCAACAAAAACTCCGAAAGCCCTGAGCCCGAATCCCTATGCTGCGAAAGCTCTTCGACCCAAAGCCCTAGAATCCTAGAATCGGACCCCAAGTCCTTCTTGTTGTGTGCCCTTGCTTGGGCCTCGGCCTTTGCTGCTTCTTGACTGCGCAGTCAAGTTTGTAGCACCTTGTGGACTCGATCTCTTGTAGACCTCTCTACAAAACCCGGCCCATTTAAGCACAATTGAATCCACTTGCAAACATTATGGACATCCCGAACGCCCTGCCTGCGATGAGGCCTTAATCGCTCAAATCGTGGCAGTGACGGGCACGATCCACGACGTAAAGTTTCAAGTGATTCTCTGTTGCTGTGGTTGGGATAGATCAGAAAGGGACGGGCGAGCTAGCTGCTTCGTGGCGTCTTCGAATGTGCACATAGCAAGTTAGATGCCCACTCATGACAAGAACGGCCCCCAAAGACATCGGGATGTGGAGTCCAGCCTACCAAAACCGCGACCAACTGTCAAACGTCAAACCTTCGGGTTTCTAGCCAGTGCTCTTTCTCCTGTAAGCTGACATACAACACCCGCTACGATTGAAAAACGATGCACCATCAAAAGCACCTATGGAACAATGGCATGCGAGTCTCGCGCCCAGGTTTTCCTCCACCGCTTCTCGGGTTCAGGGTTCGGGGGTCAGGGTTTAAGGTAAGGTTCGCCGCCGCCCCTCACAGCTCCACATTGCGAGGGCGAGCAGTGCGTACTCCCAGCCATTTCCGCTGCAGGTGGGTCTTGAAGGTAAGGGCCTGGCCGCTTCACTAGAGATGTTCCGGGGTCAGGGCTTCAGGGAGTTTAGGCGTTTTCGGGCCCAGGAATCCAAGTTTCACCTGTTGACCTGGTAGACGAACAGTGTGTCGTAGTCACATCACCGTTGAGGGGGCACTGGACACACGATGCAGAACTTGTCGCAGCTTGGTTTGGGGCTCTCGGCTGTCAAGGGTCAAGCACTGGGTCCTTGAATCCCTCGCGTCCCCAGGCCCCCACAACCGCTCCAAAAGTGCAAAAAAACAATTCGGTCGGTCTATAGAGTCCTCAGAGAGGTGCTCCAGGCCGTCTGTCAAGGTGTTGAAGACAAAACCTGCAAGCAAGGGGGAGGTGGACCGAAACACTGCCTAAGCCTCGATAGTGCGACTATGGGTTCGAACTTAGCATTTCATGCGCGAGCGTCTTGTGTTGGTTGTCGTGGGTGCAACAGATCAAGGCGGTCTGGAGGAGACTCTGCAGTGCTTCCGCGCTCTACTGTGAGAAGTACGAACCGTCGTCAATGACATGCACACAGCTCCTTCTATCTTACACGCAAAAAAAGCACTTTATCTAAAGGAGGCGTCTACCCTACCCCTTTGTCTAAGCCTCGGCACCTTCCTTCGGGTAGGGAGCCTCCGGATACGTCCCAAACCCACATGGAGCAATCGCCGGGCGCCTGGTGGCCGCGAAGCCCCGCTCCTGCGCTTGGCGGCCGCGGCCACATCCCGAGGATGGAGCTGCGTGGAGCCGGCAGGGTAGTGAAAGTAAACCTTCGGACTGGGAAGTTTAGGGTTTGTCAGAAGCCCTGTCACCTCTAGAGCGGCTTGGGCTTAGGGCTTTAGGGATTCGATCACTACCCTGAGCCTTGAAAACAGCAAACTAAACCCAAAGGAGTCCTTTAGATCCTAACATTAACCGTCATCAACCCCAAATGTCTGGCCTGGAAGACCGGCGGGCATTTAATTGGGCTTTTTGGGTGGGGTTGATCGAAGGCTACCATTTCCAGGTTGACAGGGCTTGGGGTTGCACGCTTTGGGGTTCCAGACTCTACGCCCCAAAGCCCCCAAACTCCAAACCCTTCAAGCCTCATTTACAGGAGCCTAAACCCTAACTAATCCTTTGTCTGAAGACCCTAGAACCTTCGCCCTAAATCATGTTTGGCCAATCCGAGCTACAAAGGCAGTTCGACCAGTATCATCCCCCGGGGGCTGCCGGACGCGGTGCAGGGGCGACCTCCGTTTCTTGGGGCTGTAAGGGTTTAGGGTCCGAGGGTCTTAGGCCGGTAAGCTTTACCTTAAGGCCCCAAGACCTACCTTTATCCAGGTTACCTAGGAATCCGGCAATGGGTTTTGTGATCACAGCCTCGAGGAGTAGGTCTTGCGTACTTGAGGAAGGTGTCCAGGACGCAGGGAGTGCTTAGAATTTAGGATTCTAGGACCTGGCTGCGCCCCGAAACTTTCCATTGTGCCAGATGCTGCCACGTCGCGGCAGAGCACCCTGAGATACAAGCTCGAGCCAATCCTTGCCAGAGCCACCAAGCAAACAACTTCATACCCCCTAATCCTGAGACCCCTTGTTGGCATTATTCAATTGAAGCTTCGCAGGGGGGCACCCGAACTTCCAGCTATACCGTCGGCGGCTCCCCATTCCACTCAATGACAGCTGCAATGAGCCACTTGACCCTTGACCCCCGAAATGCCTCGCTGGTTGGCAGCTCAGGGGCTCCACCGTTGACTACCAGAGCCCCTGGCATGGGATCGATCCGGCGATACTCACCTCCGGCAACAGGTTGCATTGAAGGGTTTTGGGCTCATGCCGATCTCGATCTTGGCTCTCTGGGAGCAGGCTCCAGTGGCTGTGCACCTCTCTTCCATCTTGCCCATGGCTAAAATTTAAGCCGAATCAGCGCTGGTAGCTCAGGGGTACAGGTTGAAACTACGTGCGCATTCACCCGTCTCGTTGGTACATGGCCCCGATACCAACATACCCAAAGCCTCTCTGAGGTCTATGCCTCTGTGCCGCCCAAACCTTAAACCGTTTAAGCCGTCATAGCCTTTGTCGTAGAGCTCCAATGCACCCTGGCCGTCGTCCGGCTGCGCGATAAGGGTCAGCGAGCCTTGAGCACGCTTGCACCGGTTGGCAAAGCTCTATACTAGGATTCAGGGCTCGAAAGGTCTTGATGTTTAGCGAGCACTCAAGGTGCAGAGCTTATTTAGGGCTTGAGGGCGAGCTCCAACCTTCAGGCGTCGAAACAAGTGAAACGCGAGACAGTTTGAACCCCACCTAGCAGCTACAAACCTGAACTGATTCACTTGAGACCTTTGACCTATATCCTCCCCACAAGCCATCACAAGCCCATCCCTGAGAATCACGAAGCTAAAGCCCGAAACCACAGGCTGGGTTTTAAGGTCCTCAGTCCCAAGATGCCTCAACCCTAAACCCAAAACCCCAAAACCACAAAACATCCCGAAAGCCCTAACAATCGCATACTTAAGACTGGTTGCCCCAGTCTGTGTGGTCGGAACTCCACAGAATTTCTCCGATGGCGGGTGCTCGGCCTTGACACCTGGACACGTGACTCTTCCGGGGGGTCGAGCAAGTACCTTGTGTAGGGGGCTTAGGGTGTTCTGGGTTTAGGGTTTAGGGCCAAGTATGGAGGCAAGCTTTAGGCGTGCGATTTTGTGCAGGCTTTAGGATTTAGGGTTGAGGCTCAAGGGTTTGTTGTTTTCTGGGATTTAGGTTTAGGCTTGAGGGCTTGAGGGTTTCTACATAGGGTAGCTGTATATGTATATGTTTATGTAGATGTATATTAGTGCATATTAGTGCTTTGGGGGCACTCACACGAGGGGTATCGGGTTGAGCGGGAGCGCTTGATGGTTGGTTGAGAAGTCATTGGCTCCAGCGCCAAAATCTCACCCCAAAGCCCTGCGTGCAATCGCAGCGAAGCCAGGATGCAATCCGATCGTGGTTGTGCTTTGCTGTGTGCCTCGATCCCTCATAGGGCAGGTAGTGAAATATTCCTCGGAGTCAGGGCTTGGAGGTGACTGTACACCCCAAACCAGGAGAGGATTCCCCGAGAAAAGCTGGGATGCACAATGAATGTGTCGGGCTTGCCAGAATCCAATCCACACGGGTGGGATTGGGTTGTGGGGCTAGACAATCTTCACAAGCCTCAGGAAACCTCACGCCCATGATTTCAATCGAATTGTGAACGCTGCTTTCGGAACAGCTTAGAGTTAAGGACCATCAAGGCACGTTTGAGGTTGAGGATGTTGAGGGATGTTCACAAGACGAGCCACATGCCAAGCTCCGAGAAGCGTGTAGTCGACGGGGCCCACAAGTCACAAGAGGCTTGACTCATAGCTCTTTATGATTGGAGCTGATGAAATTCGTTGTGCTCTGACCCCCAGTACAGACCATTCATTCAACATATTGTTCTGCACAATACAGCACGAACAATGCAATCACCCTCCCGCGGGCATAGGACAGGCAGCGGAAGGCTTCCAGGCCGTCACCGCCTCCCGCAAGTGAGGCTGCGTCCTGTCCGGGCAAGGCAAACGCATTCAACTTAACTTGCAACAGTTCTTTTTGGCTCGAATACTGTCAGCCATGCGCGATTGCGACGCCAGGAACAGCCAGGAAATCGTCCTCTGGAGACAGCAGCTTGCGACTTTGGGCCACCTCGCACCAGGAAGAAGCTGACGTCAAAACACCATTTGGAATCTTCAGCCCTCAGCCGCTAAGGTGTAAAGAACATCAGCCGACAACCTTTACTCCATGTTGGGATATGGGGCCTCTCAGGGGATCATAGTTGTAGAGAACTTCCCTTATGTTGGGCCTGACCTCCGCCAGACCATCGGCGAGTAGCAAAGCCAGGTTCTTCAGCGCCTCGGGCAAGGCCTGTGGGTGGAGACTGGGTCCAAACCACGGACGTCAGGGCTTGGTGATTTAGGGGGTGCTTTGGAGTGATATGCAATAAATGCAATAACTTGGCAATAACCACACGAGCACTGTCAACCCTCAAGAGTTCATGGAGCCTCCTGGCATCCTGCACCCACCCACTGCCTCCAAGGCATCTGTGTCCGAAGCACCCAGACCCTGGCAGGTTGCGTGACATGTTGCGACATCGGGGGCTTAGTTAGGGTCGATGGTTGGGCGAGGTACTTCACTTCGTGGACAGGCTTTCGTGAATGACTTGCAAAGCAGCCCGTAAAGTGACCAGTTGAAATGGTTCGATTTCTGGTTCTGGAAAGGGCTGCCGGGTCAGCTTGGCAAGTGTGGGTCTGATTTTTGCTGCTAGTCTGTCATGCACCCACGGGCATCTGACAACGAAAGCTGTGACTGCGTCTTAGCAGAAGCGAGAGATAAACTCGGATAAACACAAAGTGAATTCAACCAGTCGCAGGGGAAAGCTCAAAACCGGGAAGGGTGCTCCGATCAGGGGTAAATGATGCACTTGGACGGCGGCAGCTGCGAGCAGCCCGATGTTCCCTACTTATTGAGAGTTGAAGTAAAAGGGACCATACAACGTTTGGATGCTTAAACAACCGACGGCCTCCAAGGCCGCTCACTGTGCCGCCCGAAAAGCAACGAAGGTGAGTTGTTCGGACGTATCTACTAATCTCAACACCCTGTAGGATTTTGTTACTGTAGGTACGAAATTTGGAACACATCTTGCTCAAGCTCATACCAGGTTGGACGAAGCCTGGCACAATCCCAAATTCTGCGATGAAATCGAAGACAAGTTCCTGCCATGAAACTCTGCTACCGTCATCAAAATTTGGGACGTGCCACCGCTCGTCTGAAAAGAAGATGGTTAAGCATTCACGAGCGCGCAAATGCTGTGGAGTTCTACCCCAACTGACCTCCTGAAATTTGTTTATGGCAGAAAGCCACGAACAGGGGCGGTGGGATGCAATCCAGTAAGTAGGATAGCTGCGCTGAAGCTTGTGTGGGTCTGATAGCCTGACCACGGTTGCGATGCTCCAAGACTAGGCTTGGCGGGAATATAACTGCCAATACCCTTAAGCCTTGCTGCAAGCACGAAGGGCTTTGGCAATTTAGGGTCTAGGTGAAACGGTTCAGGGTTTCTCCAAACCGCTCCCACGCCCAACCCCCCCTCCCCCCCTCTTAAAGCCGCTGAAGCCCAAGCTGTTTAGGGCCAAAGGCCTAAACCTTTCACCACTACCTGCGGGAAGAGGTTGCCCAGGAGTTCGGCGCTGCGCTTGCTTCCAGCCAGGGAGATGCCCTCCTGGCAGGCAGGTTTATGGGTTCATAGGGCTTCAGAGCTGTGAAGGCCTCGGTGGGGAATCGGTAGATTTGTAGAATGCTCCTGCTGAACCGATTGCACAGGTACTCCGTACTCCCCAACGCTGCTGCATCCCAACCCTGAACTCCAATTGAACACCAGCAGCTTTCTGAGAAGCTAGGGGGTCCAACTCCTTCAAGAGGTGTAAGGGCTCAGAGCTTTGATTTTGGTGGTTAGGTGGGTTTTAAACTAAAGGTTTCGGTGCCTTGCACTCGAAGCGGCTCTTCCGCGTTCCAGACTCCTGACAGAGCGGCTGCACATCCCTTTAGGGGGCCCCAAGCTGTCAGGTTTGCGTCTACTACAAATTCAAGGTCAAGCTCCGCGCCCCTGCAGCCCGAGCACACCTCCCAAAGCCCAAGGCGCTGAGGCCGTAAGCTCGCAAGCGCTGAAGTATTCCAGAGCCCAAAACTGCCCAAACTGTCCCTAAAGCTCGTAAGGGTTTAAGGTTCATTGAGGGTTCAGGCTTCAGGGCCCTAAGCTTCGCCGAGCTGCCGCGCCCACTCCGAAGTAGCCGCGCACCACGGGGAAATCGGGAGGCGGTGGGCCTGGTTGTTCGGGTGTTATAGTGCTATGGTGTTTTAAGGCACTGATTCGGATGAGAGTTACCAAAGGGTCTGGTCTATTTGGGCTTAGACGTTCACGGGGTTGAGAAGCAGCAATTCAATTAGCCGAAATTGCTAGTCAGGGTTGTCAGCGCAAGACCGGACCCTTCTCGCCTGCGTCCACGGCCCTCTTTGATGACTCCTGATGCTTCAATGCTGACAGGGCATGGGATTCATGTCAGTCAAGGAGGTTAATATGTGGGGGTGTTGAGTGGCTGAAGGCAAGGCATCCCAGCTGGCACAAATCCTGAAGCACCACTCGGTAGGACATTTTGATAAAAAGGAGGAGGTGGCTTACCTCAGCCTTACAGGCGGCATCGGCAATGGGCCGACGCCAACGCCCCCCGGCCTTGAGCGCAAAAAGGTTTGCTGATGCCTGGAAAGCAGAGCCCACGGTGCCATGCCCAGAATCGCCCAGACCTCGGTGGTCTCACGTTCATCGTCTCCAAACTTACATTTTGGAGCAGATGCCGACTTTGCGGGCTTCAGGCTCCAGCAGAGGGACCCCAAGCCACTTTGGGGCCACCGAATGCTGCCCAGCTGCCGTGGTTTGTCAAATAGAAGGAGGCATGCTTCTGCAAGGCCTGCGGAGTGGGGTGCGGGGAGCTCAGCGCAGTGATGTTGCATTCCAGACGATGTTGACGACTATGTATATAATGTTTCTAGGGTTGCTATGCTCACTACAAGTACTAGACTGACTGTATGTTCTGTCCTGTACGAATATAAGACTGAATCAGTATATTGCGAGATTTAAGATGGGTTTGTATTGCTTTTTCAGTTTTTCTTTCCTCGCCTTCACAGGTTTTACTTTTTGTGGGGCCCCCTTGATTCTCTTCAACCTCGTGTGCACCCCAACACCCCCCCCCCCCCACCCCAATTGGCTTTTTGTATCTTTTTGTGGAGGACGGAAGTGTTCATGCACGCGCGCTGGGAATTGGGTTCCAAGCTGATCTACCGGGATCCGTTTTTCGGCGCCAACCTCGTTTTTTGGGTGCTTGTAGGGAGACGAGGCCCGCGGCTTTCTCTGTTGTAGCAGAGTATGCCGGTGGCTGAAGTCAGAGTTTGACCATGGCCACGACACGCCCGCCTGCCGCCCTGCCTCTGGGGTGGGGGGGCGAAGGGCGGCTGAGTTGAAAATGGATGCTGTAGGGACTATCAAGGTTTGGAATCTGCGCATGTCTTTTCCTTTCTCAGCGTTTAAACGTGAATTAGAGGAACAAGTCTTACTACGGCACTACGTAAGTACAATACTCTATAGATCTCGATGGTGCTGTAGCTCTCGCTGATATAGGTGCCAAGCACTGCCTCCAGCGCTTGCTCCTTCCAGTCCGCCTTGGCCTCTCAATGCTCGCCAAAGCTGTGACTTAGTACAAGTGTGTCTATGAAATGAATAATGCAAGCCTTCAAATAGAATATCGGGAAACAATGCTTTAGGAATCTGACATATACGACGAATCAAGAGAAGCCAGATAAACCTCGCTAGCCCCTAAGCGCCCTCGATGCAGCCACCGATCCCATAGCAGTCAAAACATCATCGAGGCACTTCAAGACACTTCAGGACTTGGGCTGGTTAAGAGGTTGATTGCTTGAAATCAAAACATCCTCCGAACTTGTCGTGAAACTCCGAGGCACCAGGTCAACCACAGGGAGCTTCTCACTGTGGCAAAGCGGAGACCAGGGAGCGACCAGGAGCAATGCCAGTTTCAGCATGGCACTCACGGGGTCTGACAAAAGACTTCGGGTTCTATGCTTAGAGGCCGGGCCGCAGAATCATTTCGGCACTGTAATCCATAGATCCAAAAACCCTTAACCCTAGATGTCCTAAAAACATTAAACTCTGAAGCTTCGCCCCCAAACTCTAATCCAACACGAAACAGGAGCCTTCAGTTGTCAACCTCAAAGTTCAGGCTCATGGACGGATGCTGCATCAGCCAAAGGAGCAGCAGGGGTTCAGCAGTTTTGATTTGCCCTCTGAAGGCCTTTTAGGGTCCTTGTAGGAGGGGCCTTTTCGGGTTTGGGGTTGTTTTCCTGTCCTGAGTTCCATGTAGTTGGGTCTCTCTCTCTTCTCTTTTTCTCTTTCTTCTTCTTCTACACAGCGCAGGCACCCCCCCCGAAGAGAGGGCACCGGCCCCGACAACCTTTCTTCTTCTTCTTCCCCGACAGCCTTTCTCTCTTTCTCTCTTTTCTCTCTTTCTCTCTTCCTCTCTTCTTCTTCTTCTTCTGCTTCTGCTTCTGCGCTTTGAGTCCTTCTCTCTCTCTCTCTCTCTCCCTCCCGCTATCGCCCCTCTTCTCGCATTTGGGGCAGCTGCAAGGCCCATGCAACGTGGTGCTGACATCGGAATGGCTTCCTCTAAGACTTTAGGGCGAACTTGAGGCTTACGTCTTACGTGCTATAATTGAAATTGTTCAAGGTTTTGGGCCTTAGGAAGAACAACCGAGCCAAGCTAGGTGCACGCGTGCATGTGCCTAAGTCGCGGGAGGGTTTGTCTTGCGCGTTTCATGCATGAGAGCCTTTGCCTCTTGATAGTTAAGCCCTGTGAGAGCACTTTCTGAAGGGGGGGGGGGGGGGGGGTGGGGACTTTCGATTCGGCCCTGGCCTGCTTGAATAGAGGGTAGAGAGTCGCTGTTGGGATTGCATGAGGCTCGCGATCTCCGCCATCTCGGGGTTGTAAAGGAAAGAGTGGCACGTTGCTTGAGCACATGCATTCTCCTCTGCTAGGCTGTCCTTTGGTTTGGATCTCCTGCTTCGCCAAGTACTCCCCCGCCCCACTTCCGAACGCGTCTCATGCTCTCTAAGGGCCGTGCTGTTGTTGTAGTTGCAATATGTGACCAAGCCGATGTTCCAGCCTCCCAGCGGCACAAAGCAGTCGGCCATGAGCTTCAAAGAGTTTCGGGTTTGTGCCGGTACGTCTGAGGCATGGGCCTGGATTTCGAAGGTTTGCAGGCTCGGCCTTAGCATTTTGTGCATCTGGTCTCCAAGTAGTCGGCGATATGATCCAACTGCTCATGTAGCTCCATCTGTGGCCACTGCGAGTCTTGGTCACGCCGGTTGCCCCCCCGTCTCATGACATAACTAAGGCTAAAGCAAACTTCGTGTTTAAAGCTCGTGCATAGCACGATGCGCACACTACGCAGCACAGGGCGGACTATGACGCCCACGGGGTTGGACGGCATCAATTCCAAAACTGACTGCCGCAGAAACCCTGAAACCCAAAAGTGGCGCGTACACTGAACCAGGCTCCCGGCAACCATGACTGCCCCGCCCACAGAGTCTTGTCTGGAGAGCTGCGCCAGGCCCTGGAAGAAAAAACTGTGGAAAATCGTGTCTCCAGGTGAACTGGTTCGGGGCAACGAGTAAAGAAGGCATTTGGACGAGTTGCAAGCTACAGCACCTACTTACCAGCGGAACAGGCATTCAGCGATCCTTTGCAATTCGCTGCGGGCCTCCGAGCGCCTCTTTCCCCTGAACCCTGAACTAGGCTGGCCCTTAAAGCCCTATAGAACATGTTCGCTTGACAGATGCCAAGTCCAAAGCCGGATCGAGGTCTAAAAACACAATCCTCCTATGAATCCCAAAAGGGGAAAAACAGCATATCCCAAGGTCCTACCGAGTGTAAAAACCGACAGAGGCCAGATGCCTGGGAGGCCGTCGCAATCTTCTGCATATCCGTTTGCCTTAGACTATTAGAGGCTCTCAGATTCTTTGGGATAAGTTTTGGCTGTTCGTTCTCAAAGCTGCGCTAGGACCCAGAAAGCTGAGGCCCCTCTTCTCAGACCCACGCCAGCGCGAATGGCTAAACCATGCGCCGAAGTCGTTGAACTGAAAAAGCATAAAGAGCTTGGACAGGTGGAGCAGCCTCGCAGCGGTTCCAAACCAGGGCTGAGGGTTCAGGGGCGTTTGGGGTTTAGGTTAGGGCTTGGAGTCGGCGTGGTCAGGCAAAAAGGAAAGACTCAAGCCTGCCAGTGCCAATGATGGTAGGTTTAGGGCTTGGGGTTTAGAGGGTACTCTGAGAATGCTTCCAGCAGGTCCATAGCAGGAAAGAAGGTGTTCCCGTTGTGAAAACACCGAAGCTTTTCCTTATCCAACCGGACTTTGTCTAATTCAAATGAAGCTGACTGAGCTTAGCTTCATCCTGGTACTGATGCATGCTCAAACTTCGGCCTGAACTCCCCCTGATGAACCCCTCAACGACATCTGCCTTCATTAACGCTGTTAATCCGCGCTGCTACTGAGGAGTGCCGTTCAGATTCACGGTTTGTCTTGAAACCCTACCCCCCCCCCCCCCCCCCCCGAAATTTCAGATCTAAAATGCTGAAGGCCGAGCTCGAAACGACCACAAACCATAAAAGCGAAACCTTAGTCACTAGAAGCCTGAGCCCTCGCTGCACGCAGCGGCCACCGAGGAGGTCCACCTCATGGGCCGCACATTCGAACTTCCGAAAACGGGGGTACCCGTCTTTGGGTTCCGAAAAAAAGGTTGCAATATTTGGGCCACATTATGGGTGCCCAATTTACTTTTGATGGGTGGAAACGGGGCTGGACATTGCTTTCCATACTACCACTTTTCTGCCTCTTGCACCGACTGTTTCATGGATATTTCCATGACGGGGTGTCGGGTCTCAGTTAAAAAGGGTGCCGTGCAGGGAGGTCTTTGAGTTTTCTTTGGTCTTCACCTAACGGCTCTCGAATCCCTTTGAAACAGGCCGTGGGCATCAGAGGTTCGTGTAGGAACCCATGCGTTTCGCATTTCATTGCTTTTTGACGGGAACTTCAACCGGAGAGCCGAAGTGCCTCAAAGGGAAATCGGTTCCCCGGGCCCTTCACTTCTTTCTTCGTTTCTTCGGACCCTTTGGGGGGACCTCCTCGGCCCCTCTGAAGCCTGAAGAACCCTAACTCTCAACCTAAACCAACCTTGAACGGGCTTCTAGATTGTCGGGCCTGGCCGATGTTGCCGGTCTCTTCTAATTAACCCGAACCGCCCAATTACAATCACAGGAATGGGAAGCCTAGGTTGCCCCAAAATCCATTCGAATTCAGACTTGGGCTACGGCACACGCTGTCGCCAACTCCTGAACTCAGGATGAAGGACTTGGGGTACCCCAACCCCCACATTCGCCTCTCGGCTTCCTGCCGAGAAGCGTTTGGAACAAGCAGACCCTCGTATTGCGCTGTCGGACCCCCCGCCCCCATCGCTTGGAGGAGCTGCAAACCGATGCCGTGGGGGGTCCCGCCTGTCGGTGGCTCCTACAGAGGGGGCGCTCGAAAATGCACGTGTATTTGGGAATTGGACCTTTTCCAAAACTCCTTTCCTGTCCTGGGTGGGCCGGCCCGGCTGCCGAGGCGGCGCGCGCAAGCGTTTACACTTAAACCTGAGACCTTAAACCAGGTCGTCAGATGCCGCTTCGGAGCCCCCAAACCTGAAGGACCGAGCGGGCGTCTGTGAGTTTTGTTGAACCCCATTTTATCAATTAGGTTTTATAGAGCCCAAACCAAGACCGCTCTGGGCTTTTCAGCCCCAAACCCCGTAATCCCGAAACACCAAATGCCCCCGTCACGAACAAGCCACCCTCAACAACTTGGGGTTCCGGTTTAAGTTTAAGGAATGCCTAAATCCTAACCTAAACCAGAACCTGACTCCCACACTTCCCCCACAGGGCGCCTGCAGGGCCGCACTCGTGCCGAGGGCACAGCCGAGTGCCACCGTCGGGTCGGCCTTGGGTTCAAGTAGTGTTTAGAGGGTTGGGGTTTGGGGTTCAAGGGTCCAGCCTGTTGTCGGGTTTGTTCCTATAGGGTTCAAGATTCAAGGATCGACCTTGGGTTTAGGGTTTCGGGTTGAAGATTTGGGGGTTCTAGGGCGCGAAGCAACTTCTGAAGGCTCGGGCTTTGCAAGCGTACCATAAGCTCTGGGTACAGTGCGCGCCTGCTTCAATGAACACTCATGCTGTGATGTGCTGGCAAAGGTCGGTCAGCCAACCAGTCCTAGTCCCGGGGAGGGTTTCACAAAGCCGGAGAAAGTCTGGCAACGTTGCCTACTAGGCCCTCTCGAGCGCAATACCTGGTGCGGGGCATGGTTTGTCCAGGCTCTTTCCTGCAGTTTAGTGGAACTAGCGGTAGCTAGCGCTGGGTACCATCAGAACTACCTGCCACCAAGTTCTTTTGCACATCTTACAGGGCGATCCCAGCAAGCTTCCATGTCCCGCACCACACCAAAGGGCAGCAGCACATCCTGCGAGCAGTGAGAGGCACTGCAGCGTTTGGGGTTTCGGCATCGGAGTTCTGAGGGTCGTTGCAGTTCACGATTAGGGCAGAAGTTCGCCACAGGAATTGCAGGGCTGGGACTGACGATTTGCAGCACAGCGCTACCGTGCGCAGCTACGATGTGTCGAGCTTAGTAAGACCGCAACACCATTAAAGTCAAACTGCCCTCAACCCTCCCCCCTTGCACCCGCCCCGCTGCACCCCTTCTCTCTGTGTGTCGCCCTCCAAACACCTTCGATGATTCAAACCCCCAAGCGCAGGCTGAAAGCCGCCTGCAGTGTCGAACTCATCACGGCAAGACGCTGTGGTGAGGGCACCTACCAGAGCTTCGGATGGCTTCGGAGTTTCCGGAGGGGTTTTTAGGTTTGGAAGGCTTAGATTTTTAGATGTCTCATGGGCGCTTAGATGGTTTTTGAAGAGCCTCGCAGTTTTTAGAAATGACCGTGAATGAACAGAGGCTAACCTGTACGGCATACGCGCAACCACACGCGAGAGTGGCTTGCCGCTCTGCCTTCGGTTGCGCCAGATACCTCAGCGCAGGCCATGTTGGACCAGAATAAAAGGCCTACATAAGGGTTTAGGGGCCGCCCTATTGGCAGCTGCTGTCGGAATCACTAGCAAGTCACCAGCAGCCACTAGCAGCTTGCAGGCATATCCTTCGAAGCAGGTTAGACAAGGTTACACGCGGAGCCATGTCCGGACTGCAGACAAGAGGCCCCGCTATGTCATCCCACAGCACATCCTGAAACAGCAACGAGTCAGTGCATCCAGCTGAGAGGGTTGTAGCAATTTAAACCGCGCAAGCCGAAAAGCATCCGGAACGCACAGCAAGCAAGGAAGGGGCCTTGGGCGTGCTTGGGCACAGCAACATCTCCAAGGCCAAAGGCTACGCCGGCTACACAGAATCCTGAGCTGAGCTGAAGAGATTTTCATGAAACACTCCGCCTCGCCAGTTCCAATCCGGCAGTCCATCCTCCAGTTTTGTGAAGGCGGTTCAGGCTTGCGCCAAAACAGACCGGCCGCTTCTGGTTGCAGGGATGAGGGGCACCTGCTTCAAGCTTCTACCCTAGATATCCTGAAGGATTACACTTCCGCGTCTCTCAAGGGAATGAATCAAGATCGGCCAGGCCCCCTTTTGCCCCAACTGCTTTGAGAACAGCCGCACTCCGAGAGAAAGAAACGTCTGAAGATCGATCCAGACCTCCGATATGATCCGAGGCTCCGCTCGATGAAGTAGCGGAAGAGCCACAAACCATCCTTCTTTCGCGGAGGTGAGGGCCCCAAATTTCCGGCTTCCAGGTTGCAGCTGTTGTAGCGGTTGTAGCACGGTTGTTTTACGATTGTAGCTTCATGCTTCTCCTGGTTTAACAACACCCACCATTCACACCATTCACACCATTCACGCCCTCGAGTCCCTCGAGTCCCTCGAGCCTGGCCCGCAGCGCAGCTCGCCAAGATTGCAGCAAGTCGGCGCATGGCACTGGCACCGGCGCATGTCCCCAAAAGGCCCGCAAGAGGCTTTGATCTCTTTGGGGGATAAAACAGGAATCGTGAAAGAGTGACATAAACTAACACCAGGTGGCACGACAAACCATGATCTTAGTAAACTTAGTTATCTCTTTTTGAGGGTTTAGGGTGGTCGGGGGGTTCCGGGGTCTAAGAACGACTGGGATCCTTAGAGAAATTTCTTTTTCTGCTGCAGATGATGAGCTTCTGTCTTGTGATCTTCACGCTTAGGATTCTACTGTTGAGGCTTCTTGGGCATCTTAGCTGGTAGTAACAAACTGATGTGCTGAGGATTGTGGCGTACTGGGTAACTAGGTTGATTCATTTCGAGTGTGCCTGGAGCACAGCTGCGTGCACGGAAGCTGTCAGTGAGGCTTGGCAAGTTGCGAGACGTGGCCGAAACAGGCGGGAAGAATCGTGACATGTAGCATGCGTGTGACAGAGCAAGGAGGAGCTTGATCAGTCTCACAGGGCTGTGCTATGCTTCCTGCATTTTGTGCCAACTTGTGGATCCCTGGATCGGTTGGGCCAATCCAAAGCATCCTTGCGACTGAAGCCCCGTAGACCTTCGTTCTAGAGCTCTCTTGTCAAGATCGTGTTAAGCCTTCCACGCAGGATCCTCCAACACAGCGGTTTTCTATTCGAGCGGACAGTTGTACTTTGTTTTCAGCCTTGAGGATGCTTCCTTCAGGAAGTTCCTCCCAAATACCTTTGCTGAGAGCATGGCGAGTCGAGAGCAGCGTGGCTTACCTAAAGGTATCTCGTAGATCCTGACACGTCGATGACATCTTCATGTTGCCTTGGGACGCTTTGGCTCCATGCCTCGCTTACAAACCCCTTCTGCAAGGGTTCAAGGCTGGACAGCAAGCTGATCCGCGAAGCAGTTCGGCTGTGCGCTGGAACCTTGCACTCTGGACAAACTGAACCAAGCAATGCTCAGGCATATGACATTTGAGAGTAATTGAAAGTACACGATACAAAGGGAAGGCGCTCAGCGCCAACTTCTTGCTGGTCCCACACATCACTTTCCGAGGTGTTCATCGGTAACAGGGCCATATACCCCTTTGGGCTGCGTGTGGCGAGAGCAGGTCCGAAACCACGGCTCTAAAGTTCAGGGTTACTATGTGATTTGCAGGGGTTTAAGGGCTTAGGGGTTGAATGGCCTTTGGGCCTTTGGGGGTTTCAGGGTGTTGGGCTTAAGGGTTTTCAGTCTCTTCACACCGCCCCTTGGAAAAATGACTTGAATCATGGTGCATCCAACGAGATTCAAAAACAAGGTCAGGAACTCCCTCGGCCACCGGTAAGGGCATGCGCAAGCTTCGGCAAGCAATGGCAGCACGGAACTGAACCCCTCACATGACTATTCGAGCCTTCAAACTCACTGTCGTCTTCCACTCTGAACCCTAAAGGGGTCTGGGGAGACATAGACGGAACCTCAAGCCCTGAACCCAAAATCCCTACGCGGGAGTTCCTGCCAGGTTCTCCTAACTCATCCGAGGGCACTTGAGGCGGTGCAAAACCAATTCGGCCAGGGTAACCCCAAACGGGGCCCTCGCCTGCTTGGTCCTTTCTTGATAGGGAGTTCAAGAATTTTTTGGTACCCCATATGGAGCCAGAAAAGATAGATAATGCCGTTTTACTGCCAAAACACAGTACGCTCACGAGTATTGATAAGGAGCCATATAAACAGTCACCAATATCAACCGTACCTCAATGGGGATATAGAATAAAGTGCCAATGGCTTGAATCCTACTAAGAAAGAATCATTTGAGGGTTGACATTTGCCGTGGCAGAGTTTTGGGAAGACTGAAAAGAAAGGAGGCTGCTAGAGGAAAGATAATGAGGGGGGGTGTTCCCTTCGTAGCCCGTACTAAGGGGGCTACTTAAGAATGGGAGATTCGGGCAGATAAGGGTTGTAAGTCACTAGGTTCCTGTGATACCCCAAAGGGGCAACCACAGGACCATGATACCAAACCACAAAACCCTGAAACTTAAACTCGTAGCTGCCTGTTAGGGCTTAGGTCTTAGGGTTCGATACCAGGCTGGGTCCAATAAGGCCGGACGTATGAAGACTGACCACTATCGGAGGAACCAAAAGCATCTGTCCGAGCCGCCTCCTAGGGTTGGAGGCGCGTGGGGCAGAGGGTATGCCTAACAATAACACCCGAAGCCTAGGTGGCATGGGGTTTCAGTCGTGAGCACCAACTCCTCCCCTCGACTAAACAAACGTCACGGTCTCCCAAGGCGCGGTTCCCACTGGACAGGTCAACCCGGATGGGATGTTTAGGGTTTACGGGGTTTCGGGATGCTTAGGGTTTAGGGAAACTCCTTGTCCGTGCTACTTGTGCCTTCCGTGAGACAGCGCCTTGGGCACGGCAGGTAAAACAGTGCGGCAAGGCAGTCTAGAAAGTTTAGAAATAGAAACTGAAATCACGATGGCAGTCAAAAAGGGCTCTTTGGGCCTCTTGCGCCTCCAGGGCAAGGCTTGAAACAAGGGCTTGTGAAGGACTTGTAGAATTCAACGGGTTGAGGAAGAAGCACTGTTTACAAACAAATATGTGGGTTGAGGCCTTGTCCTGGGGCAGTCCTTAAGCTCAAGGGCATCCCCGGTGCCAAGTTCTGATACACAAGTGCTCGCAACGGAGAGCCATTCACCGGAAGAAAAATCGTAGCCAAGCGCAGAGTCGCCTCAGAGCTTTAGGAAGTTAAGGGTCCGTAAGCTCGACAGAATCGCACGGAATCCTCAACAGCTTGAACCCGACATTCCGCTCGAAATGGCCTCCGAGCCCGACAACAAGCTCAACAATTCTCCTGACATCGCCAGTGTCGCAATATGTCACAATAAGTTCGTCATAGTTCGTCTCTAGTCCAAAGCCCTTCCCCAAGGCCCAGGAACGTGCGGCGCTGTCGGAGTCTACTTCCTGAGTGGCACCGGCTGAGGGGTTTGTCGCTTGGCTTGAGTGGGCGAAAGCCCTGGCCCAAAAGAAGTCTTCTCATAGTCTTTCCAGCAAGTCCCTAGGATTAGGAATCTCTGGCTTGAAGGTCACCTGAATGTGATCCTGGCGCAGAGACACCCCTAAACGCTAAACATCCCGAATCCGCAGGCTGGTTGCTCTTGGTGTGGCTTTTCCACGCTTTGAAGACAGTGGCGGTGGTGATTCCTGAGCACGGGGCACGGGGCGGCCTGAGGAACCTGAACCTGTTAGGTCGGTTGGTTATATAGGTTGGGCCTGCAAGGGCTTCCTCAGTCCGCACACAATCGGACCGCCTTGCTGGACGTTCATGCACGTTCATGCACGAAGTTATGTGAACTTCTTTCTTGCTACCAGGGTACGGCCACCGGCCAGCGAGTTCACGGTGGCCTGCGCACAGGGTCCATCAAAAGTGGCGGCTGGCTTTTTTCAGCCTGAACCAAACACCAAAAAAAAACGCCAAAAGCCCCGAAAGAAGTTTGGGTTTAGGTGGCTAGAGGCTGAGGGTGGTTTAGGGTTTAGGGTGATCAGGATGGTTCAAGGACTTATGGCTTGGGGTTGCCACATGGCACTGCCTCAGTCTGCTGTCCAAGCATAAGCCACCTGGACATTAGAAGTCGAGTGCCAAACTATAGTTACTTGCGTCGTAGCTAAACCCTCAACGACCTTCAACCCCAAACCCCAGGCCTAAACCCAAACCACCTGAACCCTAGCCTTTCATCTTCAGATTGCAATTCCACTCGGACGGCTTGCCTCAAGGCCCCCCTGCAAAGCCAAGAAGGAAATCTCCCGGATAGTTTCCTCCTCACAAGGCGAAAAAAAGGCTTCGGACGGGTGTTTGGAGTTGAGGGGAGCGCTGGTAGCAATGGTCGCTTCTCGCGCTAAAGCCTGTATAGGCCAGTGGCAAGTTCTGTCTGTCCCTTTGGCTTGAGGCCTCGTGCACTCAGCCCATGCCAACCATGTTGCTCACAAGTCTTATGCTACAACCACCAAGATCCTTCAAGCTCCCCAACTCAGGCCGAGTGCTTGAGGGCTTCATGCCATGAAGCCCTCAGGCCCTCATCCCCCAACATGACTCGGAAGCAGACCACCCGGCTACATCCAGCAGATTTAAAAAGCATAAGCATCGTTTCGGCGCAGACAGACGGCCACTGAGACAAATTTCCTAAACCAAAATCCACAGCCTCGTACCAGAGGTCATCCAGAACTCCTTGTTGGCCTTCAGATTAGGGTCATCAGGGGAGAGGAGAAGACCTAAAGCTGCGCCGTGGTAGCTCGTCAAGAGAACTTAGGGACTAAGCTTCAGAAACCAAGGTATGAGAAGCCGAGTGGCTTCCTAAAACAGCCCAGTTCGATGAGCCCACGAAGCCTCCAAGCATGATCAGAGTAATCCTGCGCTAGGCGCCTATGCGGAGTGCGCGAAGGGCGTAGAGTCGTGCATATAGTCGTATGTCCTGGCACGTTAGAATCGATTCTGTGTTTCCAGTACCCAAGCCTTTCAACTCCAACACGCTGATCCTAAAGTAAAGAATCCCAGGGCCGGATATGTTCGGATTTCGGCCTGCCGCCACCTGCTTTCCGGTTGAGGGCTTAGGGTTAGGGTTGAATCCCTTAACACCGCCTTGCTACTCTGCTACCCAAAGCTGTCCCTCTATCCGCCTGCAGAATCAGGCAGAGCTAGTTTGCAGCATGGGGTTCCATGAACCCCTTCGTCACGGAAAGTTGCGACTCATAACTTTCTACACATCAAGCAGGTTTATGCATTTGGTTCTCGTTGTTGAGAAGTGCAGCTTCCTGCCCCTTCTCAGACAAATGCAGGCTAGTTCTAGTGAGTTGCTCAGGATCTCCGACTCAAGCTTAAACTGCATGCATCTTCTACAGAACGGCAGCTGCCGTCTTGCAGGCAGCTGAGTCCTTGAGCATCGCGCTCTTGCGCATGACCTGCACGCGGCTTCACAGGTGCTTGAAACCTTCATCTGAGGCTTTGTTCTGGACCTGACCACGCAGCGAACATTCGGCATCTATATGATCTATATGGACAATGTGTTCCAGAACGGGGAAGCGCGAGCTTGGTGACCACCACCGCTCACAAACAGCTCAAGGAACCTCCTGGAACTGCTCTGTGTCTACGATCAGCATATCTGTGAGCACCTGAGCGCACGGCAAAATGAGTCCACGATATCTTAAGAACAGCCCCCCCCCCCCCTCCACCACGCTCTTCCATGTGCTGCGAACTGCTACGTAAGCCTCTCGACCGAGCTACTGCCTCACCGTAGAGCCGGCCCCGGTGCTTCCAATCTAGCCACATAGCCACCTGCAAAAAGCAGAAGAGACCAAATCACCACTTGGCGTTGAGGACGCAATCGCGCAATTCGGACTTGCCCGCAGAACGCATGCGTGCTCAAACGCAGAGATGGTGCAACTTGGTGTTAGGGCATCAGTTCCTAATGGGCACATGCCACCTTGAGTACTGCTGGAAGTTAGGAGAGGGCTAGATTTTGAAGGTAGGCACGACTCCCTTTGTCTACAAGCCCCAGACCCTGTGTTACATTATGCTTAACCCGAAAAGCCGAAAACCCTTATAAACCCTTAATCCGCGCAAATCTTTTCCATTGAGAGCTGTGCCTCGGCCACGACTCCTCCACTTGATATGACGCTTGCCAGGTTATTCTCCTTCAGATGCAACCACTCCTGTGCCAGACATGGGCTTAACGTTCTTTGCCGTCTTTGGTTCAAGGCTTGCCGTGGAGTGCTGTGCACGCTGAGGAGCCTTGCCCAGGAGCAGTCAAGTGTATGTATTGGCTGTTGCGATTGACATCAAGGTGTGGATGTCTCTTTGTCTCTTATGCTCCCCAAACATTCCTGCATTTTTTGGGGTGGGGTTTAGGAACTCCCGAAAAGGAGCCCAAAACAACGAGCCCTGACCGGTGTAAGGTGCCCCCCCCCCCCACTCCCCGAAAAAGAAACCGTAATTAGGAACACGCCCATCTGCAGGGCGTGGGAAGCCTGTGAATCTGTCGGGTCAAACATGTCGTCGATTCCGAGGGCATAAGCCAGTTTGCCATGGTTGACCACGAACATGCCAGCACCTAGCCAGTCACACCGGCCGGGTTGGAAGGAAAGGGTGAGAATGGGCTGCTTGAAGGGTGTGGGGGAGAGGAGATGCTACCATCGGTACAGGTGCGTCAGTCCTCTGCATCTGAGATCCTGCTCTCGGTCTGGAACACCGTGCCCTAAGCCCCAAAGCGAAACCCTAAGCCACCAAAAAAGTCCGTGCCTGCATCCCCGACCTTGAATACGTCGTGGCCCTTGTCAACGGAACGCTCTGAAACGCAGCCGTTGCCTGAGTTGTCAGTTCGGGATTTAGGGTGTTTTGTTAGCAAGGATCCTATACCACCACCCCCCCCTTCCCTCCCCCAAATAGTACAGGGTTTTCGGGTTTCGGGCTAAAGCCAGCCCAAGCCCCGAAGGAGACTCAACCTAAAAGACTCAATCTCTAAACTGGCCCTAAACCCTGAAACCTCCTCTCACAGCCTAAATTTTCGAGCTTCCGAACTTTTGTTTAGAGTGTTCAGGAACGCTTGAAAGCCTCGTTCGGGAGCTATTCAGGCTCTTTTAGTTCGAGAGGCCCGGAAAGTTGCATGTCATCAGGTCATCAGGGTGCAGTTGAGGGGTCGGGAGGGCCTTGGGGGTTTAGGGGTTGGGGGTGTGGGGCCTTGGCGTTCGAGGGCTTAGAGTGCTGAATTTGGATGAAGGCAGGCTCAGAAGGCATAGGCCCACAGATGCCCATAGGCACTAACCGCTCCGCTGCACTCACAAGCCCATAGCAACCAGAGCAATTCCGAATTCCAGCTGCATCCCTGCACAAGACTCTCAACTGTCTTTCGTCGCATGCCCAGGCTCCACCCTAGACCCTAGGTCACACTTAGGCGATAGAAAGAATCCTAGACCTCACACACAACAGTGCATCGGACGCGGCATACACGCGAGAAGGTATCCCGGTCGTTCTGGTACATGCTCTGAAAGAGGCTGTGTTTTCCCAGCACCTTCAGCAAACCGGGCTTGAATCTACTGGCCTGAGGATGCGAGAGCTTGTATTTGGGGCTTTGATGCTTGACACCTTTATCCCGACACTAAGAGGACATAGGATACCTCTTTCCGACAAGCTCCTTGAGTTTATCAATTTTTGCTCGTACCTCTCTATGCTATTCTAGGCCGAAGTCAGCGGCACCCTGCTGTAGAATTATGCGTCTCAAAAGGTCCCAGGGGTAAAGTAGCATCAACGTTGTGTCAGGAGCTTAACAGGCGAAAGTCGCAGCACACGTCACTAGAAGTCGCCGAGCCTTTGTCGTGCGCACCGTCACTGGGGCCAATAGGAAAGACATCAAAACAGCAAGCTTGCCATTCATTTAATATTACAATGTGGAAGCCTTTGCAAACAATAACAACAAATAATGTATTTCTAAATTTGATCAAAAAGTACTCACTACCCCATACCAATACCGGTCAAACAGAACAAAGCAAACAAAGCAACACGAAAAACATCAATCAATTCAACTAATTTCTGCAAATCCTCAATGGCATCATGTACACTTCTGCATCCCCTGTTTCCCTTCCAGTCTCAGCAAGTCAAGAGGCCAGGCCCCCTATCTTTCAAAGCCGCGGCACAAAGTAGTAGGCTTCAGTTCGGATCTTCTGTAGCAGCACCTCAGAGCACTTTCTGGAAGGAGCCAAGCGCCACTAGTGACCACCAGGAAATGATTATCCTAAAGGCTAAGAAGAATTGATCGTAATAAGAACAAAAAATTGCAATATTGTCCAGAAGAAGAAATATTAATCATCCCGTCATCCTCCCTCCTTTAGCCACAATGCAGTCGGGAAGGTTGCGAAGATTTCGATGTCGCTGACCTGACAATTGCACATCGGACCCCAGCCCAACACCTGAGCCCCAAGCGATGCAAGGCAAGTCCATCCGAAGGACAGCAAAAAAAGAGTACGAGGGGTATGATAAGCCGCTTTACTGTAACTTTACCGTCGGCTCTTCCAAGCACCTGGAGCCTCAACCCAAGACATCCAAGACCTTTGAGAGTCCAAAGCCAAATCGTGCCATCCAATTCGGCCTTCAGTGGGCGCTGCGAGAGTGGGCTCTTCCTCTGCCTGGGCGGAGCTTGGCTTCTGAAAGTTTTCTTCATAAAATTATGGGCCCTTCTTGGGTCTTTACATGTCTATTCCTTCGAATCCCAAGTTCCGGGTGCCAAAGTTTCAAATGGGGGCTTGCAATCATCGACCCCTTAGGCTGGTAAGCCCGGCGCCGAACGAAGTCGACGATGGTGGTGGCCAAGGCCACGCTCATTTTGTTCTCCTTGGCTGAGAGGATTTGGGCTTCTTCGGCGATTCTTCGGCCTCTTCGCCCCTCCTCCACGGATCTTAACAGGTGTCAGCACAGTTTCAGAAGCCCTGTGCGGCATGCTGCCAGAACAAAGGTACAAGGATAAGCCAGTATCGAACATGGGCTAAGCAGCTGTGTGCCAACACACAGAAGATTGACCGAACCCCTTACGCCTACAAAAAACAAAACAAAAAGACACCACCGTGCAGCTGAGGATCAGAGATGAACCGACGAAGCACTTGCATCTTATGACCTCATGGCATCGGAATAAATGGTTGCGTCGTGTTCCCCTCGTGGTCGGTGATTCTGTGACGATGCATCGATTTCTCTTGACGGTTGGGCTCAGGGCTTCAGGTGTGTTAGGGCTTTTAGGGTTTATGGTGACTACGCTACAACCTTAGGGACAACGCAGGATTCCTTCAGGAGTCTAGGGGCCGGTGGTTTAGGGTTGGAGGTGTACCCGTTAAACGGGTCTGGGATGTGCTTTCACTGACCTCGGCCTAAGCCCGAAAGTCTATGGACTTTGTTCAATGTGAGACAAGGGGCGGTCGGCCTTACTCAGCTGCTGTAGTGCTGCGAGCTGCTGAGCCATCGAGCTGATAAAGGAAGAGAAAACACACAGCCTCAAGGCGCTTGGGGTTGAGGGTTTAGAGTTGCCAGGGTGATGGGTGGGTTTGCAGCTCGAGGCTTAGGCGGCTTTGAATCTCTTCTGCGGGCTTCGCAAGCTTGGGGAAGCCTGCTTGAAGTTTCAGGCTTTAGGCCCGAAATTCAAAAACAAAGCTGAAACCGCTAGGCCTAACGATGGGCTCCCAGACCCCTGGTGCCCTACACCAGGCTTGGGTGCTTGGGCCCCCCTTCGGCTGAGCAAGTCATCTGACAACCGTGATGGACACATGAGGAGACACGAGTACCAAGAGCATCCTAGCGTCCTAGCAATGGTACAGCACCCCTGGCCTTAAACTAAACCTTCCCCCTTCACAGCTGTAAGCCGCACAATGTTCAACCCCTAAGCCCGAAATCATAAATCTCCAGAACCGACATGTTAATCATGAAGTGCCCGGAAGAATGGACCTGGCTTCCGAGCGGCCCAAAGAGGATCACTGCTATGTTAAAGATTCTCTCCCGTGCCGACTGTGGATAAATCTCCTTGCTGAGGCTAACAGTGGCCAAGAGAGGCTAACAGAGGGTAGAAGGTGGGGGGCCTGTTGAATAACAATGGGTCGTTTATTGAAACGGGAAATAGAAGTGGTAACTCTGTAAACCCTTTTGGGTTCAGAAGGGGCCGGCGGTTGGCCTGCGATTTGACATGGCCTTCAGGCATTTTCAGGGTTTGTGTTAGAAGCCCTCTACGGGTTTCGGAACCGACCAGGACTTAGCGTTTAGCTGATGTTGACGAATGGTCCTGTCAGCAATAGTCAGCTGATAGTCAGCTGGAGCAATACATAAAGTCTCAAGTTCAAGCCCACAGTGATGCGAACAAGCATGCATGCGTGTACATGCCGACTTATATCTACACATATTTATATATATATATATATATACATCTCTGCATACATGTGTATCTAACTCATGCATCTGTAGAGCGTATTTGCTCTCCTAAAAATTTGGGGCTGTATGGTTGCGTGTTTTGGGAGTGTGCGACTTTCCCCGGTGTTGACATCAGCAAGGTGCCATGGATGCTGGCGTCAGCTGCGTGATCGACCAGTGGTATGCCTCAGGCGGCTTTGGGGCTCAGTTCCGACGAGGTTCCACTTGCAAAGGACTCCCAACTACTTCAGCTGGTAAAAGCTCGACGTGCAAAAGACGCGGGTGATCAGCCCCCAATCCAACAAACTCTGGGCGTAACTGTTGGGATGGTTTCGAGCATTATGGCTTGTAGGGTATTGGGAGGTATGGGTTGAAAGGCCGGTTTAAGGACTCGGGGCAAGGCCCCGTTTCGGTCAGCCAAAACCTAACTCAACCCATGCCCTTAGTAACTTAATTACCCTAACTCACAAACCCGCACCCTGAACTCGAAATCCCTAACTTAACAACCCCAATCCTTGCTATTGGCTTCCCAGTGGCCGTGGTGTAGAGGTAGAGAAGCGAGTCGGGGCGGGTCTCGGACTGTTGAAAGTGGGCTGTAACCCAGTTGTTCTCATCATTCAAGAACGTGCCGACGGCATACCAACAGCATGCCTTGGCCACGAGTCCACGAGAAGTCTAAAATTAGGACAGCTTGGGTGTAGGGCAGGACCCTAAACCGAAACCGCTTGGTCAAGACAAGCGCATGAACCGACACACCCGGAGGGCGACATGCCAGCATCCCAAACCCTATAGACCCCCACGAGCTGAGGTTGAGTCCAGGTGCTGTAAAATGGTTGATGACCGTCACAGCCAAAAGGCTCTTGGCAATGTTCAAGATCAGAAGTCCTCGGTCGGTGATGTGCCTCAGTTGCAGGCTGGGTGATCCTGAGCCAACTGCATAGATACCCGCATGTAGCAGCTCCTCGCGTCCGCATCAACTTGCATACCAGTCTAAGCTATCGTTGCTGTTCCCACAAATTCTGGATGTCCCGAGTTGGTTCAGACAGACTCCTGCCCCAGAAGGAAAGCAAAACAGCTCCAATAGTCAAGAAGCTCGGAACTGGTGAGGTTCCATTGATGATGGGAATTGCTTGGCTAAGCTTCTGCAGCCCAGCTGCTGAGTTTGCATGATGTGGAATAGCTGCGCCAGCACCGCGATTCGCGCCTCCGCACAGATGAGACATGGAGGCACAGAGACACCCAGACAAGGAGACACGAACAAACAACAAAACCACACATAAACAATACAAAACAAAAAACAAACCAAAAAACACACACACACAGACACACAGACACACAGACACACAGACACACAGACACACAGACACACAGACACACAGACACACAGACACACAGACACACAGACACACAGACACACAGACACACAGACACACAGACACACACACACACACACACAACACACACACACACACACACACACACACAAACAAAGCAACCAACCAACCAACCAGCCAGCCAGCCAGCCAACCAACCAACCAACACACTTGAGAGGTGCCTTTTTTGACGGAATACATACATCACAAATCACATCTCAAAACGAGAGTAAACATCAATCGCCACGCTTCAATATGGTCTATGCCCTCAAGCTGCCATAACCCGAGTTTAGAGAACTGCTCGGATCGGCCTTGACCTTGGCCAGACGCAGCACACGTAGCAGGCGAAAGAGTCGAATAATGCGGAAGAAGCTCATGTACCTGAGACCATCGCAGGAAACTGAACAATGAGTTAGGAAAGGGATTTGGGAGTCAGTTCGTGGCAGAAAAGTTGGGCTTGGGTTCGGGATTTATGGTCGTACTTCGTGAGGCTAGGTTGAGAGCCCAGACGCCGGACCCACGTCGTGTCTTCGATAACGAAGATGAACATGTCCTTAGCATGTTGCTAGAAACTGATAGACCAGCAAGTCAGGTTCGACGATGCCTATGTAGTTCATGTCGAAAGTCATGTGTCTGAGCCCTGTAAGGCTGGATCCAAGCAAACCAACGTGAAATCGAAGACAAACCAAGTCCGCATATAGTTGCGGGCCGTGCAAAGAAGATGCCGCTCCTGCGAGTTGCGCTTGAGACTTTGGGCTGTAAGGTCTGTATAAAGTAGGAGTTTAAGGCTCCTAAACCCTTCAAAGTGCAAGTAGGGTGATGCAGGGTGGATTTGCCGACTGCCTTGGCATGGATTTTAGGAGCCTCAAGGCCCACTCCCTGAGTTCAAGACCGTGAGCCCCTGCCATTCCTCGGTGCCATTCAGCTTGCCGTACGTCCTTGCAAAGGACCTTGGCTCTTCCGAGTGCTCAGAAAGTTTATGTTTTCAGGCGATTTGAAGTTCAGAGCTTGAAATTTTGATTGAGATTCTCAGTCTTCCCCGGCTGAACTCTGCCCGAACCTACCCAAAACCCCCGTCAATCCGACTCTCAATGCATGCAGAATGCTTGCTGAAGACCAGGTCTAGGGTCGATTGAATTAGGCGTATTTGGGGTAGTTTATAGTTCAAGTGTCAGTGTGAAGAGATTACAAGGGGACAATGTTGGTAGCTACTTGGGCGCCTTCATTAGGGCCACTCTTGCCAGGATCATTCCCTACATTGAGGGCAATCACCACAATCGGGAACAACTCCGACGTGCTGCCATCTACGCCGTTCGGTGCATAAATCGCGCACCCGACCCCGCAAGGCTTATTCCGCAAACCGTCCTAGATTTTTGGTTCTGAGGGCGAGACAGGAACATGTCCACCAGCCACGTAACCGATGAAGTTCTTTCCAGCAGGCGCAGGACCTGGTTTTGAGGGTTATTTAAATTTAGGTTTTAAAATTTTGAGATGGCGTGTCAAAGCAGGCCGCTCTGCCGCCCCCCCCCCCCCCCCCCCCCCCCCCCCCGCCCCAAACAAACAACAAAAAACGAAACACCCGCACACGCGCACACACGCACAAACACTTGGGCAGAAATGCTGATCTGGAGGGAAGCTTCCAATACATGTAGTCTCAGTGACGTAGCCTTCTCCTGGACGACCGTCTTGAAACCCTCGAACCGGATTGAGGGCTCAGAAATGCTAGATCGGTGAGTGGAAAGCGATAATTTGCTTAAGCCCCCTAAACTGTACGACCTAAAGTCCAAACGCAAGAGGCCTCCAACCCCAATACCTAAGAAGCTCAAGGCGTAAAGTTCTTAAAGGCACTAGAACCGGCAGATTGAAGCATGGCCTGATTTGAGCTGACCTCAATGTGGAAGGCGTCCATGGGGGTCATGACCTCTTTCAGTAGGATGATCGGGTTTAGGGAACAGTTTTGGGGTTTAGGGTTGCCCGCTCTGGTTGAGCACCTTCGACTCACATCTGCCACTGATCTAGGGGAGGTTGTGATCTAGGGGAGGTTGTGGTCCACTGAAGTTACGTGCGTGTCATGCGTACGGCATCCTGTTCAGAAGGATGCAGGGGTTAGCTGCCTTGCATAAACCCTGTTTCACTTTTGGCACTGAGCCCATAATCCTCCAGGAAGGCTTACAGCAAGTGCTGAAGTCAGGTTGTATAGCCCAAAGAGTGTTAAAGTTCCAGGACCTGGAACAACCCGGGGCTGTCGGAAGGCATTCATCAAAAGCAGCTGGCAGCGCTACCACGCTAGTTGTACGGAGTGGTTCGAATTAAGGCCCGCAAAGTCAAGACTATACTGTGAGGGACAGAAGTCAACAAACCGACCGGAAAGTCTTTTGGTACCTGCCAGGTTTTTTGTGTGCTCTGGCTCTCGAAGCAAAAAGTCTGACAAGTCTAAATCCAGCAGCGTGAAAAGACATGATCAAAAAGTCCTTGACCCATAACCCCTGAGCCCCAGACTGAACAGCCTTCTTCTTCATAATACAAACCTTTCATTGTAATCAACTGTTTAAGCGATGTTTACATGTTCGCCATTGACCCTCGACCTCCGGACATTGATATGCTCTGTTGCTGGTAAGGTGCCATGTCGTAGCCGATAGCAATCGAGGTCCATATGTCCCACAAGATGCAGAAGGGAGACTTGTGCGAAATCGTGAAGCCTGGGCTGGTGGACTCAGCCTAGGACTCTGTATTTTTGGAGTTCACGTTTCGTTCCCTGCTTCAGAGAACCGGACGTCTTGTTCAAGCCCAAAGGAATCAGGGAAAAAAAGAAGGCTCACATCACAGGTTTGTTGCCTGTGAGTGCATCTCCACCTAGCCACATTGCAGGGGCGCAAGGGTCTCAGATCCCCTCTGCTTACATCCAGGGCGAAATCCTCAGCTGTGGATGCCAGGTGGCTGTCATACCACCTTCGTGGCATTTCTTCATCCTTGGTAAGAATCCAGAAGTTGGCTTCGGGGCCTGCTATTTTTCAGGGTCCATTCAGTGTTTCCCCAGGCTCGCTTTGCATAAAGACGGGCTAAGCCTGCAGTAGAGACAACCTCACCAGGTTGGTTCGAACCCCAAGAACCCAAACCCCAAAACCTTAACACCCAAAAAGATCCACAAAGCTCATGCCCTAAAAGCTGCTGGGCGAACGGTTGCTGCTATGATCGGCTGCAGGATGCTTGCCGCAATCAGGTCCGACTGTGAGAGCTTGGGGTTTAAACAAGCTAGGCTCGCTCTCGAGACAGAAGCACTTGACCCCATACCAAAGAACATCAAGGAACCAACGCACAAAGACAATGATACCTCACGCGCACCCAGGCGAGTGTCTCCTTTGGAGCGCGACTTGCGCATGGATAACTCCTCAGTTGCGACGGGTCAGGCCAAACAGCTCACAAGATATGTTACATGCCGGGCCGCGCCTCTTTTCTGTGGCTGGTGCGTGGGTTCAGGGTTTCTACGTCAGAGCGCCAGGTTTCAGGGCTGTTGCCTTTCCCACCCCCCTGAGGGGTGGTGGTTGGGGGTAGGTTTGGGGTTAGGGGTCTAGATTTTTGGGTTTTAGGTTGTGATGTGGCAGGTCCCGCCAGCTATACCTGCTTTGCTCTGGGTGGGTTCTTCATGATTCAGATCATGCATTCCAAAAGTTGTGTGGCAGCCAGTGCATTCGCTAGACGACTGTGCATCCATGCTCCCAGTCTCTGTTCTGGAACTTCGTAGTACGTAGTCGTCTCAATCCGATTCGACAGCACAGCCTTTTGTCAGAGGCTAAATACAAGCCTGGGCGTTGTGTGAAGCTGACCTGCAATAGCCAGCTGAGTACGCCTTGTGATGCTTGTGTTCGTATCCTCCTAATTTGGACGCATCCGCTCGAAAGCCCAGGGTTTTATGCTCGAAAGGGCAAGCGGGGTACGTAGTGCACAGCAGTTCGGCGCTCAAACTGCAACCCCGGCCGAACCCTGAATGGAAAAGAGTCCAGTGTGTTAGGTTATAGGGTTTAGGATTGAAGGGCTTTAAGGTTTGGGATGGTGGATGCGAGGTGTGCGGGTGCGGGAGTGGGTGGGTTGTCGGGCACATCATGGGGGAGGGTGGGTGAGAACGCAGAGTGCGGACGCCAATAAACCCCATACACCCGAAGCGTCTGACGAGAAGAGGCCTTGGATAGACCCCATATACCCAATAAACCCATACCCCTAAACCCCAGTCCCAGCTGCAGAGAGAGCCGTCATTGAAGAGCCATTCCGAAAATACTGGTGCGGATGTGCCGTTGGTGTTGGCTGGGGCGAGTCATCCTGTCGTGGCAGGTTCCCTCGAGCATATTTTTGGGTAGCGATGCACAGAGAGCCTTGGATTCGCAGCTCAGTTCGATTGAGGATTGAGTGCTACAACTGTTGGATCGTGCAAGCACTGAGTCTGAGTTCGGCGTGTTGCCCCCGGCGAACACATCTGCCATTGACCAGTAATCGCGCCGGGCCGTCCTCATCGAACTTCCAGGCCTGTGGCATGTGACGCCTACTAACCTCATCACAAGCTATACCACTCTCCACATTCGCCGCGGCCAAAATGCGTTTTTTCGGCGAAAAATTTTAGAGGCATAGAGTCCCAGAAGCGTCGAGTGTCGACAAATGTCATCACGCGTCTGCATGCAACGCGGTCCGTGCAAAAGCCCTTCGCAGCTTCGCACAAGAAAACAACAATAACAAGAACTGTTCATGCCGCCAGATGTCGCGGCTAGCTTCCCAGGTCAAGCAATCTCAAAGGCAGATTTGGACAGCCATCAGCGAAAACAGAAGTTCTGTTAAACGGACCACCCCTGGTGTGCAACTTGACCCGTGCCTGAAGAGGCCAAAGCTTGCTTGGCGCAGGTGATACTTAGTTTACCCACAAGAACATGGAAGACTTTGGGGGTTCTCAAGAACCCTAAGAGCCAACACCAACACCCCATAACACCCCCCAGGTTCGCTGGCCTTGTGCAGTCGAAGTTGAGTCGCTTCCCCGTTTCGAATGGAGGGCCGCCGCGCCCGATTCTTCAGAATGGCATCCTGAATGAGAAAGGGGTTTTTGTGGGGTTTAGGGCGGTTTAGGGGGGTTGGGGAGTGTCTTTACAATGCTGGCAAGCAGAACGGTACCTAAACCCAGAAATCCTGCATAGCTGAAGCCTCATAGAGCTTTTTATGAAACTTCCAGCACCCTGGAACCTGTTCTTGGGAAGGTGTCGCTTCGCAGGGCTCTACCAGCTGTACTGACATAGCTTTGCAGGCATGGAAGTTGACAGAGTGGAGCAGCCAGCAAAAGCAGATGCCAAGCCCGAGCTGTGTTTATACAATTTCGGGGAGCATTGGGGGTGGGGCGTGGCGGTGCACCCACTACACGAATCCAAGTCCCAAGCCTGCACGCGTCCGATGTCCTGCAGGCATGCAGTGCTGCAGGACAGAACAGAGTCTCATTGTTGTGCAGTTCTGGGCTTGTTAAGTCTGAAGCCAGACACCCGCAACCGGAAGCAAGGTCTTGAGGCCCAAGCTTACTGCCCCGATTGCTCACCCACAGAGGCACATTTCATCAGCGGCGTTTGCCCTGGTTCTCAGTCCCCTTCTCCATCTGTTTCGGCTCTGGTTGGTTGTGATTCTAGATGGTTCTAGATTTAAGCTACAACGTGCTTGCTCGGGGCATTTTACGCTGGTGCGACGGGATCATCCTGGATGATCGTATCCGCCCGATGCGGTCGCATTGTTCAACCCTACTCGATGACAGCCATTCTGGATTCTTGATTGCTGTAATGTTGCGTCTTGAAGCCGACCACCTCGCACTACGTCTTGGCACATCGACTGACAGGGAACACCTTTGCAGAACTTACCGCCGTACAGCCTTAAAGTCAGGCTTGAAGAGAATCTGGATTCTTGGCTAAACTTCCACTACGCTGAGCTAGACCTCAGTCAGCGAGCCAGGGGAGAAAGCAACGCCGTCGTGGGCGGATGACTCCGCGACAGTGAAAGGGGTAGATTCATACGGCTCCGATGGTCACCGCAGGATAGGAACCCTCATTCCAGCCCTTGTCTTTGTCTAAACGCGGCAGTCAGAGCAAGGGCATTGCTAGCAAAATCCGGGCTCGGCTATAAATACCCCAGCGTCTTTCAGGAGGCAGCTCTGCAAAAACAGGCTAGCCAACAAACAGAAACCACCCAAAATGACCGCAATTACATGGGCCTCTAGTGCTCTAACCCAAACCCTAGAACCTAAACCCCTAAGCCCTGAAAACGTGCCTGAACGCTGAGCAGCTTGTTGGCTGGGATGGCAGCCACGTCGATGTCCACTGCATGGCCGGCCTTTGTTGTGCCTCTGCAAGAGCATTCTCGTCCTATGGTTTGCAGGCTCCATCTACAGTCTGCTGGTTCTACACCACGTCTGTCGAAGACAGGATGGCAGGAAAATGCACATACCGGGGTGCACGACATCAGTCGGGGTATATGGACCCCAGGATCCTATCTACTAATTCCTAAATATAGAGGTAAAAGAAACAGGGGGAAACTATTTTAATGCTAAATGTGGGGAACACATGTCGCCCCAAATATCCCGGGGGGTGGAACCCGTGCGCCATTTGAACTGGGTTTCCAGCCTGTCTCTAGGTCAGTGAGGTCTGGAACACTCCCGGTTGATGATGCTGTTGCCTGCAAGGACCCCGGCTCGGGTGTTTGGAGATTGGGTTGGATGAGGTGACCGAAAGCGGGTAAGATAGCCCCTCTAACACAACGCCGTGTAAGCCAGAAGCCCTCTAAAGCCCTCTAAAGCCCTCTAAAGCCCTCTAAGCGACTACAAGAGAGGGGGTCAACACACAACAGGCCGTGGAATACTCATCACCAGTGTGGACGCTCATACAGATATTAACACACCTGTAGAGAGAATACACATCACAAGAAACGACACCCCAATGTGGACCCCACTTTAGTGTCCTCAACACTGAGAGCTCAAAATCACCCAAACCTCGCGGAAATGTGTCGGGGCATTTCTACATCAATCTGGCATACATTGCGGCAGCAAAGCCCTGGCTGGCCAACTTCTTTTCGAATGTGAGCACGACGGACAAGACCCGGTGATGGAGACCGGTTTCGAGACTTGCTGATTGTGCAGCCCCGGGACCGCGTGGATGCTGCCAAAAAGGAAGTGATGATGGGAATGGGAGCGGTTGCATGCAAGACCCCAGTGTGGACGCTCCATCGGCTGGAAGTTGGAGCAGCTTGGATCAGTACCGGGTGAAAGGCCCCGGATCGGTGTGAATCTACACAGACCGATACGAGTTAACACAAATCGGGTTTCTGGCACCTCGCAGATTCTGGAGCATAGACCCTCAACCCCAACTTCTTCGAATATGGTTTAGGGTTATTAGGGTTTTGGGCCAAGTTTTGGGTTTAAGGGGGGGAGGCGAAGACTGCCAACTGCTAGCGAACCCAGACTTCCAAAGGTCATCTGTACCCCATTCTGAGCAGCCTGGTCCCCGACAGGCAGGCGCTTTATCCTGGCGCATTGTGGGAGAGGAGGCCACCAAATACCGATTTAGGGTTTCTTTTCGGGGGTCCCCGTCTCATGACGAGGGCTCTGGAGGAGACGCGCGCCTCTCTCCACTCTTTGAGGCTGGGAGGTTTCGAGCGGTTCTTTGACAACGGGTTGCTCGGACGAACACACTTCGGGTCTTCTCTCTGGGGAAGGAGATCGGCGTCCTCTGCGCTTGATAACACCTCGGGCAGAAGATCCCCGGAATCCAAGGGGGGATTTTCCTTCCCGGCTCTCCCTTAGTGGCCTGGGACCGAATCGCGGCCCGATGACATCATCCTTGATGTGCAAGCCTTCCAGGGCTTAGCCAAGGATTGGGGGGTTTGGGGACTGAGGTGGTTTGGGCGGAGGGGGGTGTAGGGTGGTAGATTGGAAGGGGTTTAAGGGGGTGCGAGGGCTTCTGTATTCCTTGCGGAGGTATCTTCAGGCCTCAGGCCTCCTCAGGTCTCCTCAGGTCGTTGGGGCTCGTATCATAAGCAGAGCTCCCTCAGTCCGAAACCCTAAAATTTGTTGGACCGATGCCCAGGACCTGCCCGTTCAGAAAGAGGCAGCTGAAGCCTTGAGGTTGAGGGTTGAGTGTGCTCAGCTTGGTATTTTTTCTTGCGGCCCTAAACCCTCAACCCTAAACCCAAGTGCCGAAGTTCCGGCCGTGCAGAAAGGCCCTAAACTGGCTCCCCAGGCCCTAAGGACCATTTCCGAACCCTGAAACTCCAAAGCCCCAAACGCCCCAGACAAGACCAACCTGAACAGCCACCCACCCCAGAAACCCCGTACCCTCGGCTCGCCTGGGCTACTGATCGACCCTGACAAGCTGCGCTGAATCTGAGCTTTGGGGCTGCTGGAAGGCTCCACCGCGATATCTGGCACAAGGCAAAAGTTGAGGGATGTTGGGTGTTAGGGTTCATGGGGTCCAATAATTAAGATTCAGAGCCTTTGTGGTCACGGGCTTCCTACCACAACGGCCGCCACTCACGGAAACATCGCAGCTTGCTCGACACAGCTTTGCCGTACAACCTCATGGAGTGTCCTCAACACGTAGAAGCCAATCAAGCGTGTGGACCCTTCGAAAAAATACTTTTTGGCATCCGTGAGTAGCTATGCACGATCCTGAGCGAAACCTGAGAGCAGCACGATAAGGGAGGCATGACACGCTTAGGATCGCTAGGGTGTAGACATCTCTCTCTGTGGTGAACGACCGAAAGGTCTGCGCCTAGGTGCTCGCTGCCATCTGCAGCTTTGCAGATGGACTGGAGCCTGCCACAACACTCAGCACCAAGCCGTTGCTTCAAGGGTTCAGGGGCCTAGGTGCACGAACGAGCAGCATCTCCTTGACCGCCTTTCGTCTTTAACACTAGCACCACGGTTCAGCATTCTGAGGTTACTACCTCTCGCGCTCCATACACCGCGGCTGGTCTCGTACATTGTGAGTTGTGCACACAAAAGTCTGAATTCCATGGAAGCCTTTGCATTGAAACTATGGTATCGCTGTCATGCAAGTTTAGCCTTTGGCAATGCTGGTGTAACATTTTGTCTTTGTCAGGCCTCCCCTGCCATGACACAGCGGAGCGGATCGGAACAATAATAGCAACAGCCCTGAACAAGTCCAACACATCCCCAGCTTGGTAGCTCCTCATCCACCAGCCACCGAGCTCCCGTAAGACCCCACATAACAACGCGCCCTCCGTGCCTGGCCAAGAGGTTCTCCTTGCATCACCATGCATGAGCGGTCAACCCTAAATTTGAATTGCTACATATTGCTACTCAGCATGCGTCGAGCGGCTTAATTAACTCGAAGTGGTTGTACAATGTGGAAGACCTTCCAAGGTTCTAGCAAAGTTCGTCAGAAGACCCACCGGGCCTTTGTCTGCGACAGCACCTCGTGAACCACCTCCGCGATCTCGACCTGGAATATAGTATAGGGCAAGAGATCGGAGAATGGCCAGTCGGACCATGGACTCAGAACAGGGGTGGTCGAGAGCTCCTTCGCTAGACCTAAGTTCTCCCAAGCCCCCTGTATGGCAAACTGACAATGGTTTACAACGCCAGACTGGGTGATTGCCGCAGCACAAGTTATAGCATGGAACTTTCACAGAAATGCCTGGAGATCCCTCGATGCCATTGCCAGGCCAAGTCAACGCCTATGGCGATGGCTGTTCAAGGCCTGGCGGCCCCTTTCTACTGATTCCACGAAACCCTAAGCTCTGAAGGCAGCTACACAAACAAAATAGAAATGCAGTGCGTTTCAGCACCCGGCGACAAGCTGACAGTAGGCCTAGATGGGCCTAGATCACAGGCGTCACAGGCACCACGACCCTTGGTGTCTACATGCGTCTACGCAGCGTGAACATGCGTGAACGAGCTGTATCGGCGGCAAACGCCACTACTTCTCCCCCGCGCGCTGGAGCCGGTGAGAGCTTTGCGACGACAGGCGCTTTGAAGCTGGAACCCAGCAGTACAGAACTTGCCAATACCGCAAACCTGTCGCAAAACCGTCTCACTCTACCCCTGAGCTGGTTTCTAGACCAATCACTACTCGGCCGGCTCTATGTAAGCTACCTTGAGCTCAGACTCTAGTTCTTTCCACCTTCTTGTCTCATGGTAGACCGTCATTATGCAAGTTTGTCTCGTGCCTACCTCCGACGGCACAAAGACAAGGGTTTGTTAACAGAAACCTGAGATGAGCCCCCCATTTTCCTTTTTGCAGCACGACGCAGGTCTTCGCGCGCAGGCGACTGGGCTCTAGGCATGGGCCGCCCTCTGCAGCCAGCAATGCTCAATGCATTATTCGAAGCTGCGCTCCAAAACCAGGGAGCATGACTGGCCAGGATGTGCTGGGGCCATTTAGCCTTGGAGCTTTCGAAAGTTGGAAATCAGGGTATCGACTCGTCGAAGCACGAGCGGAAAGTGTGGCTGGACATCTGAGTACGGCGCGGTGCTCTGGCAGAGGCGCCTGCGACACTCAGAAGGCCCCAATTACATAAACACTTTGCTAATGCCGAGACCACAGCTGCCTTGGGAAGCCTTAGTCACCAATTCTCATCTCAGTGACAGCTCTGCAACAATTCGAGTGTATTTAGTTGCAGCAGCCGAGTAGGTGTAAACTGTGTAAGCTCATGTACCCTTGCCCCCAGTGAAGCGGGGTTTGGGGAAAGTGTCGTATTCGGAGTCTAGGCGATGTCTTCCATCAAGCATGTTGGCGGCATAAGGCAGTAAATCCAGAGCGAAGCCAAGTTGATTGCAGTTAAGTAAGTCTCCTCAAATGCATCACCCTGCTGAAGCGAGTCACGCTGCAGCCGCCCTCTCTAACCCTACAATTAGAACCCTTGAACTCCACACCCCGAACCTTGAGCTCCCCAGGAATCAGACACCTGAGACCAGAATTCCTGTCAAGCACTGCCTGGAGTCAGCTGCAACTTTGGCAGCCGAGCCAGCGCCAGGCCACAAGCAAAAGGGAGGCCTCGAGTTGTGACTTGGGGATGCAACAGCTTTTGCTTAGTGTCAATTAGCTTGGGTTCTTTGACCAGGGCAAACTGAATTCTCTCGGCTTCATCAGACGTGTTCCTTTGTGTTCCGAAGGGGCACCCAAAATCCCAGAGCCGCCCCGACCAAAGCATGAACCCTCTGAGTCCTGCTCAACCTAAAACCCTATGAGCCCCTAAACCCTGCACCCTGAACCCCAAACCGACATCAGCTGCCTTGTGGAGCCCGCCGTTTTGCGATGGTGCGACTGCCTGGTAGCGATGTGGTAGCGGGCGATGGTCCTGAGATGTTGAGGGCTTTGGTAGGGTGTTTAGGATTACGGTCCGTAAGACCCCCTTTAACCCAACAGCACATACGATTCTGCTTTCAGCCTTGATCAAAAAACCCCGGCGGCCGGACAACACCGGAAAAAGACGAAAACCTCCTGACATGACTGGCAATGATGCTACATGCTGTTGGGTCTTTGAAGAGGCTGACAAGGTTCCAAGTCATGCAAGAGAAGGCTGTGGGTTGGGTGCTGCACTTTAGATATAGGTCTTGAGCGAAATGGCAGCCTTGCAAACAAGCTGGGTTTGTGGTTGTTGGAGCCCTGTCGGAATCCCCGAACATCCTAACTTCCTAAACCCCCGAAGCCCTGAACTCCCAACCCTACAATTGAACCCAAAAGCTCAAACCCTCAAACCTAAATGTCAGCCTCCGACAGCTGGCGGCTGCCGTGAGGTCCACCACAAGGCAGCAGAGGCCGTCGAGAGGCCCAGTAAACCTCTTCCAGTTGCGAGGAGGGTTGAGGCTTTCAGGGTTTTAGCTTTTAGGGTGGAGGGGTTTAGGGTTGAGGGCTTAGGGTTTGTAGCTGTGAGGGTCTTAGGGTTAAGGGTTCAAGGGCAGCCGAAGCCTTCCATAAGGGTTCACTGGGTTTCAACGGCGTGTTCTGCTGGAAGCTGTATCATGGGCTATGGACAGTTATGGGTTCAGGTTTAGGGGCCAGTTATCTGCTGTGGGAACCATTGCGACGAGGGGCTGCAGGCTTCAAACTTTAAACCAAAAAGCCAGCTACCTAAACGGCAATTCCTAAACCTCGGCACCTCAAACCTTCACATGAGACTCAGTCCTAAGTGCCCTAGGAGCTGGATCTTTCCGCCTCGTTGCAGTCCGGCTGGGTCTCCATGATAGGATGCCACTGCGAACCTCGGCGGCGAGGCTGTTTCGGATATAGGGATTGAAGGTTTTTAGGGCGGGGCTTTAGGGTCTCCTTGGGGCTTCGAAGCTTTTCACGGGGTCTATTGTGCAAGCCCGGCGGCAGAACAGGAAAAGCCACGAGGTTGGACAAGTTCGCTGCCGCGGCTGCCAGTGCACCATCACAGCCAACCTGCATCGAAAGGGACATGAGGTGTGACTGCCTGCAGAGGCCTTAAGGGGTTTACACAGTGAAGGTGTTGGTGGGCGACTGCGGCATTGAGCATGAGTCTGCCTCCAGTGCAAACTGCACGGAGACGGCTGGGATAGGGCAGCAAAGGGCCATCACGCACACAGTTTGAACGAGGGGCGAAGCGCCTGTGCCAGGTCTGCCAGAGAAGGGGAGGGGGTCTCCTCTTGTGCAAACGGGTTCTACCCAATAAAGCCCTGAAGGCCCCGAAGGGCCCGGCTAAGATTAGAGACCGTGGCCCAAGGCGCCCAGTTGCGGTGCCAGAGCTGCTGTCGCGGCTGCTGCAGCAAAGCTCAAGGTGCAGCGTAGCGACAGGAGTTCCAGCAAAAGGCGGCGTTGCTCCTCCAACACTCAAACTGTCAATGAATTACCAGCATCGAAACATACGAAATTGTTATGAAAGGCGAAGAGTTCAATAAGTTTTTTTTGCTCCGGCGGCATAGCTTCACAAGCCTGAGCCCAGCTCTCCTTCGTGAAGCGGATCTTGAGGAGCACGCCCAATCCCATCATCACCAGAACCTTCGTGGGGAGAGCTGAGGAGGCCCCTTTTGGGGGCGCTTTTGGGTCAAGCCCGGAGCCAGCCTGGAGTGGGGGCATTGGGGTTCGGGCTTAGCTGGGCGGCTGGGCTGGTGTTCGAGAAGCCTTGCCTTGTTAGCGTGGCCCAGCTCTGCCAAAGTGTCGTCCACCAGCGCAGGCATGGGTAGAGAAAGCCAGCGCATGGCAAGGCCGACCTCGTCTTTTGGGAGATTGCTTTCCCGAAGCAATGACATGCTGTCTGCTCGGGAAGTTGTGATTTGGCGCAGGGCCCTGCAACAAATAGGGGTGTGCTCTTTTTGCCCCGAAGTGGCGTACAGGAACACGCGACCCCCTGACATCGTGTCTAACAGGAAACCGTAGCTTTCGAGAATAGTTTCAGAGAACCCAGAATGTTATCAGTTTTCGTATTGGGGTGTTGGGGTCAGATTTGGGGTTTCCGGCCGAAGATATCAACATCATTATGCCAACGTGCGCGTCGCCAAGGCAGGAGCGCGATTTGGCACCCCGCAATGCAAGAACTCCCAAAAGCAGCGACAGTTTCACATTTGGCGAATCCCCTTAGACTGGCTTCACTGGCGGTTCGCGGGCGCCGCGCGCCCTCAATCTTTCAATCCTAAACCCCTACAGTACGTACACCCTTAAACCTCAAAAACACAAAAACGCCTAAACCCCTGAACCCTATAAGAGCCCCTTCAATCCCAAGTAAACTCTTTCAGCCCTTTCAATCTCAGGTTTGATGCCCGAAGCGCCCATATTGCCATCATGGCGGGCGCTGTCAAGAGCTGGCGGCCAGCCGTGCGCAGCAGCCGTGCGCCTTTTGTATAGGGTTTGGGCTTACAGGTATTGGGGTGTAGGTTTGTGTTCTGGAGAGGTTGAGAGAAGAGAAGCAAGATCAGACTTTCGTTGATGACGATGGTGGAGTGTGAACTTCCTTGTTTCTTAAGCTACAGGCGCGAAGTTGAGTGGGCAACATTTGCCGTTCCAGCTGTTTGTACCCAGCCTGATGGCCTCTCTTGGGCCAAGCCATCGAAGATCGCGCGGTTGTATGCGAAGTTCACGATCATGTTCCTCGGGTGCCGAACATGCGGGCTTTGCTTCAGCTTCAGCTGCGCTGGCACTATGCTCTTGTCTAGAACCGGCCCTGGTAGGAAGGCAGACTTCAAAGGACAGGCAGCAGTTTCTGAGCAAGGCCCGTTTATTGAAGCGAGTCTGGCTAACTTGATGGAGCAGAATCCCACACCAGCGGCCACACGCTTTGGTCCAAGACAAGCGACGGAATGTCCAGGCATGCCACAATGCACAGACCTTTCACTCCGAAGATGCCCTGGATGATGGGGTAGGAGAACCTCAGGCCCTAAACCCAAACCCCCATACAGTTCATGGTTGATCGCATGTGCGCCAAAGACGGAGACTCCAAGCAGGAGGAGCCACTGTGCCTAGCATGACGTGAGGTTAAGCATAAGCTTGCGGGACCCTGAACTGACCCTGAGTCACTAATGCCTTTTGGAAAACTACCCCGTGAGGGCTTTAGGCTTCCCTGTGAAAACTCGGCTGATGCCATCCGAAGTGGGGTTTAGGGTTTTTGGTTTCGCCCAATCGGCAGGCTCGGAAGTTACGTAGGATGCAGGTGGCCAAGTGCTTCGGGCTCAGCAACACATGGGAGAGCTCATGCTCCGAATGCTCCAACATACGGCGTGCCTTGGACCACTCTACTCTACACTCTTACCCGATACCGCCCATACCCTGAACCCCACAAAGATCCACAGAAATGGAGGTCCAAGCGGCATACCCAAATTTAGCCCAGTCATCATTCCAGTGAGCAGCGCTCGCTCCTGCCTGGAGCCCTGTCAGCTGACAGGACATTGCTGCTATTTCGTACAGTGGTGCCTCAAAGTTATGCCTGAAAGGGGTATATTAATAGGGGGAGAAAAGGTACCTAATTGCCCACCTCCCTTCCGAGAGCCACGCAACTAACTAACCACAAGCTATACAACCCACCCAAACCACCCCCTCCCGCTCCAGAAGCCACAAAATGCACGCCTCAGAATGCTAGGGCCAACGTACCCCGCCTACCAATCCTACATCAAAAAGACTTGTAACCCTCCTCGCCAGACGGCTGGTTCTCTAAAGTGCGGTCCAGTTTGTGTGCCCATTAATTATCATACGGAGCCGTATCTTTAGGAATACCCAACAAGGGACCGTGAGATGGAGAACTGCCCAGGTGCTGTCCTTGTGCCGGAAGCCCACCCAGGCACCCAAAGCACCCAGGCCGAAGCTCAAGAGCCAGGCCACGGGCGCCAGGGACGGGGTTACAGATCCTGCATGCATGAGAAATATCTCCTTATATCGTGATATAGATGTGCAGAATTACCTAATTGTACAGTTGCAACTGCAGTTGCAAAATTGCACAGTGGCAGAGCTAATTCTTCTCATTTAAAGCTTTAGGGACATACGCATCAAACCATACCAGTAGAATTTGTTGTCTGCGAATTGGGTGCTCGAGAAGGTTCATGTCAGCGAACCTTCTGCATCTAGTTTCCACAGAAACTGGACTGTAAACACCAGTTGTTGTGCCTTTCGGCAATGATCTACACCTATGCGCCACACAGGTCTGTCGCCAACTTCTGTTTTCTAAGAAACGATTGCGCGTCAGGCCAGTAAAGCGGCTGTCCGCAATGTACAGCTTGCCAGAACCCCTAACTTGAATTAGCAGGCTCGATGCTTTCGTGTGTTGGCTGGTGGCTTGGGTAGGCACGAGGCCCCTTCTGGTCGTTTACAGCGTTTGGGGTTGAGAGCTTTCTAGTTTTCAACCTTGGCACCTTGAGCATCCAGTGGCTTACACTTGCCTGTTGGTGCTTCAGCGAAGGTGTGCAGCAGCAATGCCTGCGAAGCAGCGCCGGATCGAAGCTCTCTACGCTCGTGGGGATGTCGAGCTTTGAAGCTTTTAGGCCTTTGGACATAGCACGCAACACGGTAATTGAAGGAACCCTGGAATGGTCTCCTCAAGCCCAGATCTGAAGTGCTCATGGCTTCGGATCTTACCCTGAAGCTGGGGATAGTGCTGAGCAAGCTCCAAGCGCAGCGGCGTTAGTAAGAAACTCCCAGAGGCTACACGGCTACACCGTGGCGCTCAGGCTCCGCTGCAGTTTTGTAGCATAGCAACTCCCTGTGAAGAACAGTCTGCCTCGTGCACTATGACCGGAGAATGTCAAGCATCCTGAAGTTTAAACGGAGCAATAAAACGATCACCAAGACAACCCCAGAGCCTCTAGCTTCCCTGCATCTCCTTGCAGCTCGAGCACTGGTGTGGTGACGTTCAAGGCCAACTTCAACAGCGTGCGCCCATCGGATTCCTGCAGCCAGGCTTTAAGCTTGACAAGGAGAGTTCCAACTTCTGACCTGACCGACAGCTTAATGAACCCTCCAAATCCAAACCCTAAGCCCGTATCGCTGCCTGCACGACTTCCCGTCGCTTCAGCAGCAGCCCTAATGCGATGAGTGCGAAGTTCGAAACGAAGGCGGTGGCAGCGTGGTGGACCATGGGCTCAGCAAGGCTGGCGACCAAGGGCTGGAGGGCTTCGAGATGTGGGGCTTGGAGTTTTGGGATTCAACTTCGATGCTTCAGCTCCAGTTGTTTTAGGTTAGAGAGAGAGAGAGAGAGAGAGAGAGACAGAGAGAGAGAGAGAGAGAGAGCGAGAGCGAGAGGGACAGGGAGATGGAGAGGGAGAGGGAGAGGGGCAGAGAGGGAGAGAGAGACGAAGGGGGAGAGAGAGAGAGAGAGAGGGGGAGAGGGGGGAAGGGGAAGGGGGAGGGGAATGGAAGGGGGTGGCCAGGAATTGCACGTGTAGGGTTCATGCTTTGTTGCTTGTGGGTTTCGGGCTCAAGGGTTGTTCTCGCAAGCCTGGTGGACAAGATCTTACATGAGACGCAAGCACACTGCATGAGTATGAGTGAAGTGCCATCTACTCAGCTCCACATTCAAACATGTCTGTATGTGCAATGGTGCACGACAACACTCGGATCGACGACTTTTATTCTCCAGCTCCTTATGTCCTTAGGTTAGGCGTAGGTCCGGCTATTCCCAGCTCTGTGAGTGTTCGCTGCGAAGATGGAGAACACCACACAGCGCCAGGACGTATTTTACTCCAGGGTTTGAAATCAGTGGATCCCAGAGCTGGAAACGTGGCAAAACGAAGCCACTTGGCGGCTGTGGCCTGTTATGCGAGGCACCTGAAAGTGGATATTAATTCTGGGTCGAGCCCGTCCACGGTCTGTGGTCTTTGTTTTTTTGCTGGGTGAGTTGATTGCGAAACCCTAGTGAGCCCAAGATTCGGCGTCGGGATTCAGTTGGAGACCTCATGGCTAAGAGTTCGGCCCAGCAGTTCCTTGGACCTTCGGCCCGGGAGCGCCCTGATTTCTGGGAGATCCTTTCGGATGTCAGAATTGTATGGGCACGCCCCTGGAGGGAGAGGTAGGTGGGTCTGCTAAAGCCCTCGAAGATGCTCATCATATGAAAATCTTTCAGGGAAATCTCACCCTAAAACCGCTCAGGACATTTCAAAACTGCACCGACTCCGGAACCCTATAAATCCTAAACCCTGAGCTCCACCTCTCTCCGTTCGCTGGGGGCATAGAGGCATCAACAATTTGATTCGGGACTCATGTGGCCAAATTGGCCCAGAGTGGCAGTTCCGCTGTATTTAGGAATTGCCCTGGGGGAGTCAGCAGGAAGCCGATTGTGCAACTTGGAGGGCTCCGGGGGCTTTGGGGTTGGACAGCTTAGGGCTTTTGGGGTTGAGGGGGAGGGTCAGCTTCTTTCTGGGCATCGTTGGTTCAGGGTTCAGGGCTAGGGGCTTTGGCGGGGTGGAGCCTTCAACCTGACAATGGCATCCCTTCGCTGAAGCGATCATTACGACGCTCCCCGAAGCTTCGACTTCGAAGCACCACGAAGCAGAAGAGACATCAGATCGAAGTATTGGAGGACGGTGCTCACGTCCTCAATTGACTCGGGCTGATCTCAAGTGCTGGCTAGAAATGAAATGCAAACAATCTCCAAAGATCCGCTACCAAGACAATGCGACGTCGCCGTCATTTGCGCCGAGCCTCCGACCGTTACACGCCGAGTACGACAAAGCTGCGCCGCTCGTCGTTCTCCTGCATGAACCCAGCAGAGTGGAAATCGCCACTGGGAGAGCGTCTAGTCTTCGAAAATTATAGACCTTTTGCAGCTACCTAAAGGTAACGCCCTGCACTAATTGTAGAATTGACCAAGTTCGCAGACAGGTTCGCAACCAAGAAATCTCTCTCGATGCCGCCACATGATGCCTCCTAACTTCAGTACCCCTCGAAGGCCAAGCAAGTCAACCGGAAAAAAATCGGAAACAACAAAGAGCCCAACGCTCTCAAACTTTCCCAAACCCGGAAACCTAAACCCTAAAGAGAACTGCGGGCGGTCCCGTTTCTTGTACTTGTCGAAGCGGCGTTTCAGGTCAGACATGCCGGCATCTGTCTCCTTGGTTCATTGGGGGAATTGGCCAGGGCTTCGGTCATGTTACATTGTTGGAGGTCAGGATTTAGAGCTTTGGGGTTCGTGGAACTTATGGGCCATTTAGGGCTTGGAGGTTGTGAGTTGATGGGCTTCGGCATGGTTCGCCTTTATTCTGGGCTAAAGCCCTAAGCTCCGAAGACCTTATAGCCCCCCCCCACCCCCAACTCAGGTGCTCCCCAAGCATCGTAGCGGTTTAAGAGCTCGAAGAGGCGCTCGGCGCAAAGCTTGGCGGAGCGCAGCACGTAGTGCGCGCCGGAACTGGCAGGACAGAAGCGCCCCCCAAAGCCCTTCGGGTTTAGGGCTTAGGGTTGACGCTTCCCTTTTAGGCCTAAGCATGGCGCTGGGTCTCCGGCCCTTATCCCTTCAGCTGCCTGCAAAAACCCAGGTAGGAAAGCTTCAGACCTTCAGGCTTCAATTTAAGGGCCTTGGCTTCAGCTCCGGAAGGCTAGAAAGCTTCAGGTTTGGGCCGTAAAGGTATCAGGGTTTACCGGCCTTGCCTGCAGCCCAGGCCCCGACACATGTTTGGTCGCGCAGGATATCTCTTTGCAGCGGTCACCAGACTTGTTTGGGGCGGGTCCCCTCTTCTAAACTGAGGGTAACATTTCCAGGCAAACCCAAATGCGCTCTTCTTGCAGTGTAGGCACTCGTAGAGTTCTGATGCCTGGTGCAGGGCCCATGCGCGAGCTTCTGCATTCCCAGGGCACGTGGTTTCACGTGGCACCATACAGAAGTGGAAGTGGGTTCAGTTCATGTCGCGGGGTTTGCATGCGCTGGATCGGCAGACGGTCCTAAACCCCAAACCATGAACTTGTCCACCAAGTTCAAGCTCAAGCCCAGAACACGCTGGAGCCCTACACTCCCAAACCGTACCAGTTCCCCGATGTGTGGCACCTGGCGCGGGTTGTCCGCAGTCACAATGACGTGGGCTTTGGGCCAGACTCCCTGTACGACCTGTCAAGATGTTGCGGCTTCGGAAAGTTGAAGCTTGAGGGAATTCCTGATGGAAGCCCATCGAACCTATCGGACCGATCGCATCTCAAATCCAAAGTTTGCAGCTCGAAAACCGAGCCCCTGCATGTTCAACCCCAAATGTGCATGTCGAACAAGGGAACTTTTTGGGTTCCGTCTGTGCGCGCGCAGACCTCCCAGCGAACAGTCCCTCCCAAAATATACTAAATCTACAGCACCCCATATTCACCATTTACAATAATTAGTAGCCCCCAAAAAACGGGGCCCTACAATCTAGAGCACTGTCACGTAGGTCTTGGGAGAACAAGCCTTGAACGAACTTTTTGCCCTTGTGCCCCAAAACGCAAACCAGGAACTAAGGCTCCCTAATTCCAGAAACCCTTCAGGATGCCTTCTTGAGCCCAAGAGGAACCGCCGAATGGTCACGCTAAGAGAGCTCGAGTGAAGGCCCCTAAACACTCCAACATACCCAGCCTGTAGAATCCTCATGTTGGTGGTGCCTGGATGTCGGTTCTTTTTTTTTTTTTTTTTTGGGGGGTGGGGGGGGGGGGGTGGGGGGGGGGGGGGGGGGGTGTGGGGGTGGGGGGGGGTGGGGGGGGGGGGGGGGGGGGGGGGGGGGGGTGGGGGGGGGTGTTAAATGGGAACTTTTAGCGAAGTTCTTTAGGAGAACCAGCAGGGGGCGGGCCTGAGCAATTTCAATCCTTGAACGTTCGACTCAACCCGAAGCCAAGCCACAAAAACCGCCTGCTAGCCTCAACTTGGCTTGTTTCTTTTGGATCTATGGTAGATATAGTTATTTTGTAAGTGTTGGTAAGGGTGTTAGGCTCCTGCATGCTGTGCCCATCTCGATTCCTGCGGGCGAGACTTGTGGGGACCCGCGACCCCCAGCCATGTATCCATCCCTGACATGAACAAATAAAATTTTTGAAGCGAAAATGCAGGCACGTCCTATCCCTATCGAATACAATTGAATTTAGAAAAGAACCCTGTTTGCGGAAAATGCAGTTGAACCCCTATCGGGCCCTGTCTCTTTTTGGGTTCTGCAGGGTGAGAGTCCCTGCAGCATTGTTGTCCAGGGCGTCGTCGAGGAGTACATTCCATCAACACACCCCCAATGCGCAGCACAACCATCTTCGGGAATTAGAATCTGTCGTGACTGTATGGGGGTAGCGCCCGGCATCGCATAATGCCAAACACATGATTTTGGTGTCAACCTAATAGCAGCTGCAGTTTCTGATGGTCTAAAGATGCACTTCATGCTCCGTCTACCCCGCGGCAAGAAAGATCCCACAAACACAGCTCTACACTACACCGGCGCCAAGCAGCAGCACCACCAACAGCAGCAGCACCGACACATCCACAACCAACAGTCTCACCAGCTGGCTGAATGCTTACTTAAGCTATGGAGCCGTGCCTTCGGCTCACCGTGACGCAGTGCCCAGCACATCAGCACGTGAGAAGTCACCTGAATGGAGCCAAATTAGGACATGAACGTTAAAGCTTGGCTGTCCTATCGGCACTGGCACGTCACCTGGTCTTGTGACTTGTCTTAACTGTATGGAGCTAGGCATGGGTTGTCTGCCCTCGAACATCCTTCAAATTCACACACGCGCCGGCTTGCAGCCACGGACCTATGTGACTTTGACACCTCGTCTCAAGAGCGGCTCCTGTCACATCCCAACTGCTCAATCCCTCCGAAAGCACTCAGAAGCTATGACGGTTTAAAACTTAGGCTTTTGAACCCAAACCACACAACACTTGGTCAGTCCTCTAACCCTTTAGCCTCAGCCCATTCCTTGATGGACTGTTTTGAATCCACCACCGCAACTGAACGTGGTGACAACATCGTACACCCGAGCCCTGAACTCCTCCAGGTTCGCTCTTACCACCCCTCCCATTCTCATTCCCTGTTACTAGCACCTGCAGAGCTAACACTTGCTGTAGGAGCTTACAACGCCCCATAACGCCACCTGCAGCTTTCCTTGAGAAGCTTGGGTTGTGTGCTCGCACTCTGCCACCAGCAT